TGTATATCACCCACGCCTTTAAAGATGCATCTGACAACTATCAATCTTTATTATTAAATGAACCTCAAAAAATTATAACCTTGAGTACCGTATGCAAATGAATAAACATTGTTACAGACATACTTGATAATCGATGTAACTACGTATTACTGCGTGGTTTTCCGATACGTAAAACCGTTCTGTTAAGTCGACTACTTTGTTTGATGAACAAATTTGAATCAGCAAATAACATCTGCACCTCGATCAAAAGTGAGGATCGAAAGATTACATCATTGGCAACTCAACTGGCTAACAAGGTCTTATAATTCAAAACCTTTGGGCCTTTTATTGTCAAGCAGCTATAAATCCAGGAGTTTATGCCAATAGACTATATGATTGAAGTCAACATTATTCTGTCAATCTTTCAAGCTATTTATATGGTAGAGTCAGATTTAGATCTCTGCTAATCTGTACTAAAATCGATGATCGAATCCGCTTATATAAAGAATACTAGCGGCTCACCCTCGCTTCGCTCGGGTTCGTCGCTAGGTACGTTTTAAATAGATATAAAAAGAAAAAATCTTTCTTTCTCACATTTTAATTATATGTTTTAATACTTACCTATTCCGGACTAAGAGAAATCCAAAAATTAAAATATCATAAAAATTGGAACGCGGTCGAACGGGATAAAAAGTATCCTATGTCCTTCTCCTGGCTCTAAACTACCTCCCTGCCAATTTTCAGCTAAATCGGTTCAGCCGTTCTTGAGTTATAAGCGAAGTAACTAACACGACTTTCTTTTATATATATAGATTTATTGATTAATATCAACCGTAATCGGTCACATTTTATTTGAGACTAGCAACTTACGTTCGTTTTACTCGGGTGCATACCAAAGTTGAATGGTTTAGGATCGCATAAAGCACAAACGTCCAATGAAAATATTTTTTTTCTTGCACCAGAAACCTTCCCAGGCGTATACAAGAGTTTTATCACAATCAAACATAGAAATATTCTTTTTTATTTATATAGCTAGATAGATAAATTAAAAAAAAAAGAATTTTAAATGTCCAAGCCCAAATCTTAGAAAAACCCTCACAAACTTACTACTACTTAGATAGGGCACATCTAAATATTATTTTTTATCGTATTACAATTTTAAATATACCATTTTGTTCTGTATATTTTAAATATTCCGATTTATTCCGTTATGAATTTTAGTTATTAAAACAACACAAATAAATTAATATAATAGATATTTATAAAAAATAGTCTATGTAGTTTTGCTAAAACCAGTCATCGTGTGAGTTACTCGGTGTCCCTTGAGTATTGCGGTGAAATTTAACAAGCTTTAACATCAATATAAATCAGCTCTAGTTATTTTTATTCCTAAAATAAAATTTAACTTTATTATTAAAATTATACTATAATAACTAATTTAAATTTAAAAAGCTCACAAGATTTGACACTTATAATTAATTGTTCCAGCTTTCTGGTGAACTTATTCGTTCGGTAACGTTAACATACCTAACATCATAATAATCCTCTAAAAGTACACGCGAGTCCTGTATTAGAATTAGTATAAAAAATTCCATCCCTATCTTGTGGTAACTCTTATTATAATATGTAAGGCATCGTAAATGTTTAACATTGAGGAATTTATTCACTTAACATTAAATTTTCACAATGTAATTATATACTGTATTACTTGAATTTTTGAATAATTTCCACCCATTAGCTTGTGGGAGTTCTTCCTTCATAATACAGAGTACTCTTTAGACTCTATGGAATAGAAGATGGTGATTTTTTTTAATATCTTATACATATAAAGCTTTTATCATTTAATCTAGCAATTTCAGATAGTATTAATTTCGTAGTAATATCATGCATTCTCTGCTGTTTACAATACTTGGCATTGGCGCCGATACAGACGCATCGCGTCTTAGATAAAATAAACGTCTAATACACGTCTAATATAGATTATAATCAAGAATGCAGGTGCTCTACAATTATTAGAACTGAACCTTGTTCTAAATATACGAACAGAATATATTATCATGAAGTTTTAAATTTAAACTTCGTAAACAACTGAATTTAGTATGTACGTATGATTTATAATATACTTCCCTTGCAGAAATAATAAATTACGTTGATTAATTGTTTTAAAAATACTATATATAATATATGTATTTTGATGGCCGTTATATAAAATATACTTTATAGTTCATATCAAATTCTGTTATCTTTTTATGAAAAACTAAGCCACGCTTAGAAGAAGCTTTAGGTTTTATAATGTCAGTTCGCTCTGTTGGTGACATCTTAAGAGGTTATTTGTACAAACATAAAACCTTAAAGTAGTAATATTTTCTTCTATGTTATATAATACTAGCAACGTACCCTCGCTTTGCGCGTGTGCATCTTTTGGTGACCAACAGTAGCCTTTCTATTACTCCAGATCAGAGTCAATCTGTGTACTAAACATCATCCAAATCAGTCCAACCGTTTCAATAGAAATGAGTAACAAACATACACACATATGCCAACTTTCGCATTTATATAATAGTCTGATTAAGTAGATTTTATATTCCATATAGAATACCTTGATTTTTTATGTTCATATATGTATGGTTGTTATGTTATAATTATAATTATTTACTCGTACGTTACCACTGAACTAAATTCTAAGGTATTTTACTTCTTATATTATAAATGCCCAGTGATAGCGCGCTCGCTTGGGAAACCTGGTAAAGCGGGTTCGAATCCCGAGTCTCGCACTGCATCTGATATTTTCATGAGCTAATCATTTCCAACATGATTACCACTTGTCTTAGGATGAAGGAAAACATCGCGAGACAACCTGCATGTCTGTGAGAACCTAGAAAGTTTAAGTCGCTAATATTATACCTATAATAACATTCACTCGGTAAGATCAATACTAAGTTAATCAATACTTAGTTATATTAAGTTAAAAAATATTCGAGTCCAAATTTTCTATGAAATTTTTATCCAAATGAAACCAGATTTTTCGTCGTCGCGTCTTGCTATTTTCGTAGCTATCACGATTTCAAGATCCTGATTCAAACAAAGCTTATGTTAAGCTTGTATAGTGAGAAGCATCCAACATTTCAAAAAGATAAATGCAGTCGAAACGAAGAGAAAGATAAACTACAACAAATGCATACTAATATTTTTAAAAGTACTTCTTGTTCGTCAATATTATTATTGCATCTACTAAATAAAACTACATAGGAATTAAAGGAATTTTCTTATTCAACATAATTTTGTTTTAATTTATGTTAAGTAAACTAATCTATACAAATATTAAAATTCTAAGTCAGTACATTAAATATTTTTTGGAAATTCTTATTGAAATAGTAATTATTATCGATACAGTAGCCGAATCTATAGTTTTTAGAATTTTTGTCTGTCTGTCTGTCTGGGAACACGTCGATGAAATCTACTGCGGGAAAATATCTCATCTCTGAGAAATATTTTTTTTGTTGAATATGTGAAATTTTCATGGGCGATTTATATTTATTTTTATTTCTTCAAGCGAAAATTCTTTAAGTACCACTCACTTTTTGAAAGAGAAAACATGGAAAGCTAAGCACAAAAATTATCTTAAAATCTACTCGACACTGTAATTCCTTATTTCCTATACAATTGAAGTCTCAGTCTTTATATTCCATTTGCAGTAATCCCTTAGTGTATAGAGCGGAAGTTCTAAAACTTCTTAAAGACATAACTACTGGTCCTAAGAATTGGTATTGCACGGAAATGCATATATATCTAGTATTTTTGCCAAAATTCTACTTAGAAATATTTGCAATAAAATTATAATTAATTCATAAGTTTTATTGTATATATTTCAATATAGATTTAGTTTCATTATATTTTTATCTAGCCTCAATGAGACCATTATGTATCATCATCGTCCCGTCTCATTTGACGTTAAACGATATACTTACATACGAGATTAGATGTGTGTACGTATATAAGTACATGAATATGACCAAAATTTACCTTTTTCGTTTTAGTAGATAAGTGAAAATAGAATCTAACAAACGGTTACATAGCATTAGAACTACGAATGACACTGTAAAATACAGTTTTTTGTCTTTGGAGATACGAAACCCTAAAAATGCAGAACTAATTCCCATGAACTAGAAATGTGACAATGTATTCAAAATCTACATAGATTCAACTTATTTACTGTAAGTATTCATAGTTTTTGTAGTATAACTGTTCACATCATAATAAGCTTATAAATAAAAATGAATAGAATAGTGTGATGTTGAACATGTTTGATTAACATTAAAAAAAATTACAAAAGTATTTAAAGAAACATACTATAGCTTTCTACAAATATATCTACGTATACGAAACAAATGCCAAGTTGCAATTTTTAATCTATTATGTCAGACCAACTTGTGTTGTGTGTGTGTAATGTGCAACTGTGTGTTGTGTGTGTAATGTGCAATTTTAATATACATTCATAATTTCATCAAGATCTCATTTTAACCAATATAATACCAATAAACATGTAGTATTTATTATAACATATACATATAACACATAAATTACATAATTGATATAAAAAAATGAATGGGATATATTAAAACACGTAAATTTAATAAAATGATTTAATTACAGACAAGTGCCAACACATCCATGTGACTAGATCATGCCTGGTTTTGATTGCTTTTATAAAGGGTACAGTCGATTCCGAGTATATGTTAAAAATAGAACGGTCGTCCAATGAGAAAGACAATACATGTCGACTGCGCTGGCGCAGCTCATTTGAATCAGCTGTAAGAAATTGATTCACTTAAAGGGCGCGGACGTGCTCATATGGCTGACCGATTTGAGCGTCTCGCACGCGACCAGAATAAATGATCTTCCCGCTTCCTCAATGTGATGATTTATGACAGTCGAAGTACGATAATAACTTCCAACAAGAGTTATGTACATTTAAATGGTGTCAAAATTAAAATTTATTGTGGACATTATGTTGAAGCTTAATATTGTTTCGGTGTTTCATATATTTTCTCATTGGCATGAATAGGAACATAGTAGTAAGGCATAGATTCTTGATCGTGAATACTGCAAAACGATACCGTTTCCGGTTCTGAGGTCAAAGTATCGTTAAATTGCTTTATTATTTGATTAGAGCGCCATTCAGTAAGTTGTTCTTCAGTGGGTTGTAAAGGTGATATATAACCCGCTTCGTTACTTTCGCTGCTTCTCATAGAAGTAGAACGCATTAAGTCTTGAGGCGATAACTTTTTAAGATTATCAGTTAATAGAAAGATTTTCTGCTTTTCAAAAACGTGCTTAGTCATTGTTGTCGATTCACTAACAAGTTTATTTCTTTTCGAGAGCTGAGGAGGTAATATAAGCGCTTCTATAGATTTATGTTTAACAAGTATGACTCGCTTATTTCCTTTTAATAGTGAAGGATTCCTTTGAATCAATGCATATACTGATAGAGCACCAAAGATAAGACATCCCAATGAAATCAAAATATATAATAGTAATCCCTGAGTATTACCAGATGTATTTTGATATAAATGTTCAAAATTAACCAAGTTATAAGACACACATTTATTAGTCATAACTGTCCCAAAAGATAAGTTAAACGGACAAAATGTATAATATTCTTTTTCGTTCAAATTATACACTTTTAATGACCTTGGTATATTATTAACGCAGTACACTTCATATTTACATGAAGATTGAAACCATAAAAGACCAAACCCTTGATCTGCAGATGCTTCTATTTCAACCATAGAATAAGGATAACTCTGAATGGCAAATATAGGTTTTATCCAATTACTATATGAATTTGAGCCCCAACCAGCATTTATTGTTATTGTCTTGATATCATTAATGCTTATTCTATTTAAATAGCATGTATTATGTTCATAAGATATTAAGTTTATTGAATTATTCGATAAATTTTCCTCATAGCAAGCACCGTTTGTGAAAACAATTCCAGAATCGTTTTGACATCGATACCGGCTATCTTTTGATTCATTGGAATTTATAGGATTTTGTTCTATACTATTTTCTATAATAATACTGTTTTCGCAATAGTCTTCTAAATCCGAGAACATTAAACCCTTAAAAGCATCAGGAAAGCGACAAATAGGGTCTTCAATGAGTATACCTTTCCTAAAAAGTGTCCTTAAATCATTTTCTGAACATTTACAAAACCATAAATTATCTTGCAAAGCAATTTTTGGTTTGAATGGAAGTATTTTATTAAACAATCCCACTGGAATTGTGACTAGAAGATTATCGTTCAAGTATATAGTTTTTATGTTCTCCAATTGATCGAAAGTACCAGGACCTATAGCTTTAATTTTGCAAGAATTTAAGTATAGCACTTGACATTGTTGAAGTTTTGAAAAAGTTCCATTTCTCAAAACATACTCAAATGAATTAAATGAAAAATCTACAACTTTTAATTCGATAAGATTTTCGGAGCTCGTTATATTCTTTGGGTCCCATGAACCAATCGACAGAATTCTTAAGAAACCTAATGTATTACCGATTGCTGTTATAGCATTTGTGTTGATCTTATTAAGTTTGCAATCGATTATATGTAGCTGTTCTAAATTTGATAGTCCCAGTAACATTTCATCGTCCCATACATTTATTTCAATTTTTGTTAAAACAAGCGATCTTAGATTACTATTTAGTGGACTCATGAATGCTTTTGGTGATATATATTTAATATTTCCTCCAATTATGTTCAAATTCCGAATGTTCAAAAAAACCCCCGAAAGCCAATTCTCTGGAATTCTTGAATTTGCAAATGTTGGTTGATTCAATTTCAAAGAAATACTTTGGCAATTAATAGGGACTTCCTAGAACAAATAAAATAAATTAGGTAAACTACAAACAGTACCACAAAATGGAATAAGAAAATCCAAGATGAAGTTTTTTAACATGTAAATTTTGTGTTCAGCCCTTTTTAACGTCCCACTGCTGGGCACGGGCCTCCCTTCAATACGAGGGAGATCAGGCCATAGTCCACCACGCTGGCCAAGTGCGGGTTGGCGGACTTCACATGTCTTTCGAAAACTTGCTAAGTTCTCTCAGACATGCAGGTTTCCTCACGATGTTTTTCCTTCACCGTAAGGCAAGTGGTAATCATGTTAGAAATGATTCGCACATGAAAATATCAGTGGTGCGAGACCCGGGATTTGAACCCGCTTCACTCGGTTTCCCAAGCAAGCGCGTTACCACTGGGCTACCACTGCCTTTTTAAATAAATTAAATAAATAAGTAAATTTTATTAAATAAGTAAATAAGTAAAATTTATTTTTTTATAATAAATCTAAATAACTTATCCATTTAAATAAATCACATGTTACGTATAAAATATATTAGGTATGTTTTTATTAATAAACAGAATACGTACCGAAAGTGCTTGAATTATATTGTCCTCATAATTACCGTAATAGGGAGTTTCCTCGCATATCACTGTACATGTATTGATTCCGCATCTTGAATTGATACTCTGTGACGCTCGATGGGAATTACTAAGTGCCATAAGAACGATCAAAACAAAACTAGATACAATAAGTGTGCCAAAAAAAATGTGTACTACTACACGAAGCCATCCTCTGCTACACGATGTGTTCCTATCGACAAAAGAATAGCAAAATATTTGTATTGTAACATTATATGAGTAAATGTATTTGTTGATTTGTCCCGCTTTAACGCGACAACTGGAATCAAATAAATCAAAACAAAATAAGGGACTGATCAGATTGACAGGATATTATATCAGTTCCCATTAGCTTTCCTTTGGAATGCCAGATGTCATTGAAGGAACTATCACATCAGTCCCAGCTGCCAAACATTTTTTTTTAATAATGCGTGGCTTATGGCGGCAGACCCTGGCAATAGCCAGGATTAATAATGCCAGGCAGAAGAAGAATGCGTGGTTTATGATATAGAAAGCTTGTCTACTCAGAAAATTGACTCATATACTGTTAATTTTAAGTGCCATTACAATAATTCCTGGGAAAATTTTTAATTGAAATATTTGTATAATGGCCAAAATTAAATAACAAAGTATTTTCTCACTTAACCAACAAATATGTTATTTAACCAGACGAATTAAAATAGATTACACGATATTAACAAAGTAAAATGTTACCAACTGGCACGTCTAAGAGCTATATAACAAAGAATTGAATTTAATATAACATAATACTATCTGTAACTGCGTATGTATCTATCTGGATTTTTCTATAAAAAAATAAAATGTCATGTGTCATAATTGTAGCAAAACTAAAACCTAATAAAGCTTAATAGCATTTACAATATTTAGCTTTCAAATACATATATATCGGTTTTACAACGCGTGTTTTAAGTGTTATATAGATTAGATAAGTAAATTACTTTTTTAGTTTTGTACAACATAATAGACTTATATTTATAAATTTGTATATAAATTTAAAAAATATATAATTTCTTACTAATGTTATAAATGCTAAAGTAACTATCATGTCTGTTTGTTTGTTTGTTTTTTATGATTACGTTTTCACTCCTAAACCGCTCAACGAATTTTGATGAATTTCGGTATATAGATAGATTGGAAATTCCAAATGGACATATTTGTAGCAAAAATAAAAAGTACTATTTCTCAAGATACTCATTATCATTTCTCAAATTCAAGAATACAAGTGCTCGAAAGTGACATATGATTCTGTGTAACAAGTGATCCAAATTTACCTTATAAATGAACCAAGCAGGGTGTCTTGCTTCTTAAGAAACCGTGTGCGTACCATTTCCATTTTCTAGAAAATAACTTAGAGTAAGTATCAAATATGTATGTACATACGTATATAATTTATCTCTTAACTAATTTAGTTTATCGTATTATATGTAGTAATAATGAAAGTGCCCATTGCGCCTTTAGGCATCGATGTGATTCATATACTTTTTATGTGTTTTACCAAAAACCCACCAGGTTAATTTAAAATCAAAATTACTGATGAATGCTATTTACATATTAATACACATAACACCATGAGAAGTATGAACTATTTTTACTCTATAAGGGAAATAAATATAATTAATGAAATTTAGTACGCAGTTCACAAAATTTAACATATATGGGCAACTTACAAGCAATATCTATCTAAGCACCACTGATACACTGGCACTATTAACAGATCATTACAGCGAAATGACTGATATATTATTATTTCTAATAATCCATGTCGAGATAAGCTATGATAATAACGCTGTATCGGGATTTTAATGGATACATTTTGAGGATAAACTTAGCAAACAATAATATGATCGAGAAGGCAATTTCACGGACAGGGTGGGTTTATCAGTCATATATCTCTAATGTTGAAGGTACGAAAGCAAACTTTACTGCCTTAGATATCTAATATATTTAAACGAGCAGTTCATGTATGTATATATATATATATATATATATATATATATATATATATATTCGTCGATTATAAGAATCTGAATTTCGGAAACGGCTCCAACGATTTTCATGAAATTCAGTGTAGGGGGGTTTCGGGGGCGATAAATCGATCTAGATTAGTGTTATGTCTGGGAAAACGCTTGTTTTTGAGTTTTCATGCGGTTTTGTTTCGCATTATTCCACGCAAAATATGGTTCTACATGTATATGGGCTAATTCGCACGCTGGGACATAAGCATCGTGGTCAAGCGGCCAATGCGCAAATTTGACTACCACAGGTGTCTGGCTTCGTATCCCGGTTGGATACAAAGTTTTTATATTTGATTTTTTTTGTACTTATACAAATATTTGGTTTGTTTTTTTAAATGTTTTAAATGTGTCAAAAGTTTTTGGCCATAAAAAACAGAAGAGTTCCGAGCGAAGCTCGGTAGCCCAGGTACTATATATTATATATGGATATAATGATAAAAATCAAATTACAGCTTTTACTTTTGAAATAAGACTAAGCTTATAGATCATAATAAAGTTTTTTGTAGACTATTGTGATTATTTTATTTCGTAATTATATCAGCATAAATTGGTGATAAAAATAAACTGATTTTAGCCACGGCGGACAATGACGACATGTTTGGCTCAGTTTGTAGTGACTACTTGCTATGCCAGCGGTCGCGAGTTCGAGTCCCGCTGGGGGCATTCATTTGTGTGATGACAGATATATTTGTACTCCAGTCAGTCAGTATATATTTAAATTTATATATGTAAAGTGTATCAACTGTCTGGTATAACACAAGCCTCGTAGCTTACTATGGAACTAGATGGTGCTGTGTGTTAATGTACCGACTAAAAAAAAATCATCGAGACTAGCCATGTGCGTAAAAGACAACTGCACAACTGTGCAAATGCAAGTGCACCCTCTATTCCTTTCTATTCCTCATCGGCCGTATCGAAATTACGTCCCACAAAACTTTTTTGGTGGGATACAATATCGATACGACCGATGAGGGATTAGATGCAAGACCGTTAGTCGTTATGTGCTCTCCGAACTACAGCAGTTTAACGCCGCCAACTTCTCTTTACTTGCTTCCTACGAAAGACTTCTTGACACAAAATCCCAATATTCTGTTATCCGCTTTGCCAGTTTACAACTGCAATTTTTTATTTAGGCGAGCTATGTATAATTATTTTTACATTATTTTTTAAGCTATCTTGCTAAAATATTTATTGCGCCTTTATTCTAAACAAATTTTGTATTTTTGCTCAGAAATAAAATATTTTCCCGCAGTAAAAGTATTATTGTAAAAAAAAATCATCAAAATCCGCCCAGTGGTTTTCCCATGATACAAACATTAGTATTGATATGGATAAAAAATAAAAATATATATTTCGAACAATATTAGTGCACAACTAAGTAGCTTATAATATCCAATGTTATGTTAGAATTTCACTCATTCAATAGACACGTCTACTAACGGAATAGGAAGAAATAGAAATACCACACGGTACAGTCGTCTCGCGCGCAGGAAACGCAATAAATCAAGCGGCGCGAGGCATTTTAGTTGTTGTTTGGATCAGTTCTCATATTTATCGTGGTTTCTTTGACAGAAAACATTGAAAAACGTAAGGAGTTAAACGATTGTTGGTTACAGAATATTTTATTATTGACGGTTGCATTAAAATTTCACTTTACTATATCCTTTCATAGCTTTTGCTCTGGGCCATGAGTATTTTATTAAGTTAAAATTGCTCCTCTTTTGGGTCAAAGCATGATAATGGATAGAATGTAAGAATATATTTTTAGCAACAAACCTACTTTGCCTTCCTTTTATTGAAAGAACTTTAAGAATCAATTCAGTTATTTCAAAGGTTATTCTCCGATAACAAAAAAAATATTATTATTCTTTATGTGTATATGTATAAAATGTATTTTTTTTATATAAATATACTGCATAGTTGAATTCATAACCAACAACGCTAGTTATTAAGATAATTTACATTTAATTTTAAATTCTCGTAGATTATTACATAATTCCGACACAACTTTTTAACATATTTTTACTTGTACACTACAAACAGTGTTAAAATGAGCTCGCAACGAACTCCATATTAGAATTGTCTCTAAAAGGAGAATATGTTAGCTCAGAGCGAAACTGGTAAAATTTAACTTTTTTATGGTTTACTATTCCGCTTCCATTTAAATAAACATGTACATTTCAAATGACATACTAAGTCTCTGTTTATTTGTATAGACAGTTTAAAGTTTTAAGACGATTCAGTGCCGTCTATGTAAAAATATTAAGAGTGGTGTAGTATGTTTATTTTGGCGAAGATCGTGGATTCAATTCATGACATAACAAAAACTCGACTTTCTATATATTTTTATATACTTTATATACTATTACACATGCAAAATAAGCGCATAGTCGTCGAGTTGCGGAAAATAGCCCGAACATACCATACTATTGGGTGCGTAAAACTAAAAGCACTATTATTCCATTTTCCCCTTCGTCCGATGAAACAGAGTCGGAGTGAAACCAAGACATAGGATCGTTGGCTTTTGGATAATTTCTGATGCATGAAAGATTATCATCACTTGTTTGAGAATTTATTACATAGAAACACCCAATAACTGGTTCGTCTGAACTAATCCCTGATCGACAAAAAAAAATCATCCAGTAGTTATTCAAAGGTTAATTGTTGACCCCAGTCAATTTTTATTACTAGCACGTTACTTCTTTAAAGGTACATTAGAACCACTGAGACTCTTAACCAAGCCAACTATAATATATATATATATATATATATATATATATATATATATATATATATATATATATATATATATATATAAAATATAAATAAAAATACTATACAAGCATATGTAAAAACTTTGTACCCCTTTTTACGAAAATTGCGCGGCCGGAGGAGTATGAAATTTCCCATACTTATAATTTATGTAGAGAAGGAGTGCAGAATGCTATTTTTTTTAAATAATGCATAAAAATACATCAAATTAATTAAAAAAACATTACACACACTACCATGTATTTGACACACACGCATATATACTCTTATGTTTATTGTTAGTCTGTGGTCAAATTGAGAATTATGAATTAATACGTGAAGTAAATACTTTGTATCCATTTTTAAGAAAATTACTCGGACGGAGGTATGTGAAATTTGACACAGTTAAAGTTTATTCACTGTTTTCCGATTTTTCCCTGTGTATGCACACGAATACTCACCTGGTCACCAAATTTCAACTTTCTAGGTCATCTGGAAGTGGGTCAGGTTTTACTAATATATGTCAGTCAGTGATTGGTAAAATTGCCGATTTTTAGACGTTAATATCTCAATAACCGTTCGATCTCTATTTATGAAATCGGAAATTCTAGTCAATCTAAGGGGATTTAATAAATAAATCAAATTTTATGAGTTTATGATAAATAGATTTTGAGTTATTACGAGGTGAAAAGTGGTTCCAAATGGTTCGTGTAAATATACACACGGTGCTGCGTCGCCAGTTCCTTGGCTTGAACTTGGCTAGACACGCTACCGCGTCTTGATATGGAGATATAGTGTAGGAAGCTAATATTTTTATATAAAATACATTAAATTAATTAAAATAAACATTTTGTTTGTGAACCGACCTGTTTATTTTTGTTTTATTTTAATAGCTATTGACTTGCTTTAGTTTTATAAATAAAGAAATCAATAATAATCATGGTCCAAGTTCGACCACTCGGCGAACTCTGGTATAGTAGTCATATATTCATTAAATTCATGACACAAACCAACTTATTATAAATACAACGAACGTAGTATCAACTTCAAAAACTATAGAGATCATTAAAATTTAATTGCCTATTAAAATTGTATTGTTGTGGCGAAGTATGTGCTCATAGAATTTGCAGAATTTAAGAAAAATTTTGTCCTAAGATCTTAACGATCTCTATAGTTTTTCATTTAAGATATTAGTTTTTGATGGTAATACTACGTTCGTCTATACATATAATAAAATTGTAACTAAGCCGAATCTGTACATTAAATATTTTTTGAACAATCCTATTGAAATAGACATTATTAGAGGCCGAATCGATACTTTTTAGAATATTTGTCTGTCTGTCTGTTACCGCATCACAGAAAAACCACTTGAAGAATTTTGATGAAATTTGGTATGGTGATAGCTGGTTATCCGGGTCAACATATAGGATACTTTTAACGCGGGAAACTATCTCATTTCTGAGAAAAAATACAAAAACTGCAATGTAAGAGTATACTAATATGTAAAACCTAAGAATTTGCTTTTAGGTCATCTGAACGCGGGCGGAGCCGCGGGCAATGCTAGCTGTATTTATAATAAGTTGGTTTGTTTGGAACTTGTTTGTTCCAGTTTTGTATGAAAGAAACGACTATTAAATGTTCAAGCGGAGAACAATCAACCCTCGGCAGATCTCGTTTGCTTAGAGGAAACATTCCTTTGTGCATATTTAGAGCTTCTAGCTTTAACCCGACTGTATAAGCGTGCACCCCCTAAAATGGCCTTCATACATTTTTAAGTTTCTTAACAAGTTGTTTTTTATTCGATCTAAATTAATTTTTCTACTAGCAACATGCAGCCAGCAATATCCAGTTTCTTAGAATAAGTTAAAAAAAAACTTTAGATAAATAAAATATAAATAAAATAGGTGTGTTCAATTATTTAATAATCAAATAACAAAATTAATATACAAGAAAATCTTGTTAATAAATGCAAAAAAATATGTTTTTAATTGGAGGTCATTTTCTGAATATAACTACTACGAGGTTGTCAATTTTCTTCAAATACCATTCAAAATCTTATTGTCATGAAATACCTATGGTATTAAAAGTTTCCTTAGATGTTAAAGTGTTTTAACACAAGAGCGCCGCGCCGGTCCCATTATTTCGCTGCCAAGACTCTTGAAAACGCTTGAGATGTGTTTGTTCAGTCTTTACAAGTACTACTAAATTTAAATATAAGATATAGACCCAAAGAGGCTCAATGGTAAGTAATAGCTGCCAGTTTGTTAATAAAAGACAATTTAGACGTATTTATATTTTTATTAAAATCAAAATTTATTACACCTTTACAGCGAAATTTTAATATTATATTTATTACATAATAAATAATAAATGTGACTATAAACTGGAATGAACACTTTTATATAACATATTTAACAACATTAAGATTTTATTAAAATGAGAAAACATTAACCATTCTCAAAATTATTGCTATATTGGCAGGGCCGAATTAACCATGCCGAGGGGCCCCTAGGCAATGCAATTCTCGGGGCCCTTTCATCCTTTTTTAACTTATTAAAATTTCTTTTTTCGTCATAATTTACGCTATTAGATAGATTTCATAGAAATCTAACTGTTGCATTTGTCAACAGGTGGAATTTTCATCTATTTTTTTAATTAAATTTTCACTCGATGATACATTTTCAATTGTTTTTTCTCCGTGCGATTCCCCTAGCCGATGCGAGGCCCATAGGCAGTTGCCTAAACTGCCTTATGGATAATCCGGCCCTGTATATTGGGTACTTACACATTTCCAGTTACATACCATTAGTAGAGATACAATAGAGACACAAATAAAACACTGAACGACCCAAGCTTCTGGAATACACAACAACGACAATAACAGGTATTACAAGAACAATTACAACAAGTATAATATAATGATTACATAGACATCGGATATGTTGACATGCGATATTTCCAATCTAGCTTATTGCAATCCAATGTCTATAGTAATTATATAAATCTTAGTACTAAATTGATATGCATTGATAGGTTGGCGGTGCTTAAGCACTAGGCTCCGCCTCCCCGATATGTTTGATGTTGGTTCCTTTAATTCTATTTAAAATAACGGTTCCATCGAATATATTTAACTTGCTTCATATATGTATTATAATATTATAGAGCTAAGACAAAAATTACATAGCTTATAAGTAAATACTTGTCAAAACGCAATAAAATCTAATGAAACAATTGTTATTATAAATTGTATAAATATTTAAATAGAGTTTCGGGTGTTACGCTCGTTTACTTCTGTTAGAGACGTGGCGTGCTTGTGACTACGAGTCGTTGAGCAAATTGAGATCAAACCGCGCTTTGACTTGTATTTACTGAATAAAACGTACAACATTTATTATTTTATTAAAATTATGTTATATATGAATATATTCTAGCACACCATGATAAATAGACACATATTACGGTGTTAGAATTCTTAAATTATCAGGTTTTCCGACTCTGATCATTCGTGTTATACATAAATATATGATATAATACGAGTATGTGCATAAACGATTATATTGTGCGATAATTACTTATAATAAGTGAGTAAATATCTATAAATTTCAAGAAACACGTAAGAATATTACTACGATTTTTTTATTAGGTATTAAAATGTTACACGCATGTATAAAGAATACAAAATATGGTATTCAATCTCGCGTCTTACACACGTAGAACATTTGTTCGAAAATATTCAAAAACACTTAGACACGGAAAGGTATTTAATCTTCGCTACTTCTCAATTTATTACAGAAGGATATCACATTGAAAGCTTCATATTCGCAACATTTGTATATACCAATATTCTTAAATATACTTATGTAATTCAGACTAGGGGATATGTTTTAGGTTACATTTTATCACTTAAATTAGTTCATAATCATTTATTATAATATAACAAACGTATATATTTTAAAATAATATAATAACGTGGAAAGCTACAAATCGTATTTTGGGATAAGAATATTAAAAAAAGCTCAGTAGCGAACATGCGGGTAAGGAAATACGCAAATAAATCATTAAAAGCTCATAGTTTAAAGTCACATTTATTACTTTACTATTCAATATTAGTAATCTAAGTAATATAAAATAAACATTAAAGCTACAGCAACTAAGGAACATATGCCTCTTGAAGAGGCTTAAAATAATTAATTAAAATTAATAATAACAAAATAACTAAAATAATGTAAAGCTCGATGACGCCATATCGAGTGAAAAACAATTAAATTATAGATTAACTGTATATAATTTATATAGTAAATATCTAACACTTATCTAAGGCTAATTAATCTACGCCAAACATTCAGGGGCATAAACATTCATTTTGGAATAAAACTAACGTAATTATAAACAAGAGGTAGAATTAGAAGGAAACATATGGAAAATTTTACGAAACCCGTATATATTACTCGTACATATTAAAGATATCGGGCCTCATTATTAGAATACTATGTTCCAAAAAGTTTTTATTATAATTAGATGTTTTTTCTTATTTTGGAGTATGATTATTATCATACGAGCTTTTTTATGATTTTTGGACTTGAATTCGAATTCCAATAACACGACCGAGAATATTGAATAGTCAACATGGTAAATGCGCAAAAGCTTACTAATACATTACACGATATTAAAGGTAAGGGTAAATGATAAAAAATATGAGATTTTTAGCTTTTATGTTCAATTTTAATGGCAAAGTGAAGATTTTCTATGTAATGCATTTCATCAAAATTCTAATTTATTCCCAAACTAATTTTAAACTCACCTACTTTTGATTGGTTTTATTCTTAAGTAAGGCATATTTATTTTATCCGCTTTATACAACAGAGCCATATCTAAATCTTGCTGTTTGTTTAAACTTAAATATATTTTAAATATAGAATGTTAAAAACTTCATTTCCTCCAACTTATTATTTCAAGTTACGAGTACATCAGTTTAGTTATGATTTTGTTCTAGAAAGTACGCGTATGCCGTTTTTTTTTTAAATATTTATTTGTATCACACCGTTAATATCCATCCGTATCACAAATTCTTTCCAAAAATCTACATTTTCAGCCAAAATTGATATGTATACGTTTTTTTTTTAATGTTAAAGAAACAAAATTCACGAAGGATGCAAGTTATCCGGCCACAGTTAACTTCACTCTTCGTTAAACTTAATAAAAAATAGAAATCAATTTGTTCATAAATTTTTGCAATGGACTTTTATTTCTCTGACAATAAATATGAAAATTGGTCATGATATTTAAAAAATTGTTTTACGATACTTTGAATGATACCAATATTCGCAGTATAGTAACAGATAATCACATCAAAGTTTTAATATAATTTTTAGTTACTTTTTTAATGGATCAATGACTATAATATGATAAAGCTTAAGGAATTAGAAGTATCTTATGATTGCGAATGTTATATAATTTGTTACCAACATCGGACCAATGTTGGTGGCGCCGGACGATCTGATGCCTGGTTTTCTTTTGCAGCTCATCTTGTCGAGGGGCATTTTTGCTACGCTATATTCGCGATGTTCACTGACCATTGTGCAAATTGTACGTTTCTTTTGCATCATTTCGTCATCACGATCCTTGAGACCGGACAGCCAAGTTTCATACCACGCCAGATCGCAGTCACAAATTAAAGGGTTATCTAAACAAAAATGGGTTAACATATATTATATGTTTTAAATTAAAAAATCTTAAAGTTAGTTTATAATACTACATATGCACAGCTTAATTTAATTTAAAACACAATTCGTAAAAAAACACAGCAAAACCTCAAAATCTAAATTGATTTAAACCAAGTCAATTTAAATTTTATATTTTAGACCGAAGTTTCGTATTTCCTGTGAACATATAAAAAACTAAATTGCCAACAGGAATATTTCATTTGAAGAAAAACTTATAATTCATATTTTAAATCCAGCATAAATACAACAAAAGACAAAATTGAAGTCCAATTTCGTGTAAGCTCTTTTCCTATTGAAACAGTTTCAATAAGCGCAGTGCAACCCTCGGCGAAGGTAGTTTCTGCACAAATTTCGTTTTATATGCATCGCGTTGTGGTTACAATAACAATGTAATACGAAGTAAGCTAGACCAAGAACCTGTTACTAAAATAGCAAACTTTATTAGGTCTCATCTCATAGATCTTATAAGATTTCTAGAAACTCACCTATAACTTTGAATGAAATATGAATGTTGGTAACAAAAATATTAAACCAAAAAATTACATTCAGAATATAATACAGACAAAAAGTTTCGTCGACGATGTTTCTTTCGAAAGTAATTTTACTAAATAATTTAATTACAGTCCTAATAAGACAACATCATTTATATTAATTAACGAGTTAAAACGAAAGCTGTAAACCGCTCAAGTTAATTGTTTTACAAATTCTATGTAGATAATAAATTGCTTATGATTTTAAAGAGCCATCTTTTCGAGTAGACCTTTTTGCGTACACGAATTAGCGAAATTCTGGTATATATTTGGTAGAAGAATATATAATTCATTCAAAGCTTTTATCACCAAAATGTTTAATTAGTTTATTGTAATTATTAAATTAATTAGCATGATGTTGAGAGTAACATTCATCTTCTTACCCATAATATCAACAACTCTTAACGTATCGAGGATGGGCTCCATGATTTCCTCTGGGATGTGCTGCAGCTTGTTATTTTGTAAGTTAAGTGTCTCAAGGGAGTTGAGGTTGTCGAAACCCATTGTTGGAAGTTGGTGAACCCTGTTAAAATTAATTATAATTTATTGACACAATAGGGCGTAAACGGGATGGCCTTAAAGGACTTAAAGGAAACAGAAGACCAAGAATTTATTATACTTAAAGAATGTGGATCAAAAAATTGAAAACCTCCCGAGGATACAATTTAGATATGTTGATAATTGTAGATATGTATGTAATGATACGAAAATGCATATATTTAAACTATATAACGGATAAAAATATTAAAAATAGCCTCTTAAAGTAGTCAGATAACCTGCCTCGACCCCAAGTCGTGAGTTAAATTCCACTTGGAACATATATGTATACTGTCCCCCCCAACGTGCGTTCACCTTGTCGTGGTGGGGGGGCTCAGTAGTATTACGAAGCTAAAAAACGCACAGGGAGGTTGCCCACTTCGGTGGGCGGTGGGAGGTGGCCCTCTTCGGGGGACGGTGTACCTTGCGGGTTGCTCCTGGTACTTCACTGATAGCAGAGTGGACCTTGGAGCAACCCCAAGGTTGTGGTGGTCTGCTTTGGCAGACCTGCCGTCGGGGCGTCGTAGTTGAATGCGTAAGCGATCCTGCGACGCCCCATTAAGACGGGGGAAGGTTTTGTTGGGTTTTAGTGGGTAGTACTGGCTGTATTACGCCGGTGAGTCCCACACGTCGTGCGTAAATGCATTTCCCAACGTTAAAAATATATATATATATATATATATATATTTATTTGTATATATATATATATATATATATATATATATATATATATATGTATACTGTAATATATATATATGTATACTGTCCTCATGTGTTGTTAACTGTTACTTATGTATACTGTCCTTACAAATGGCTGCCATAAGTAAAGACAAAATCTTTTCACTTTATATAGCATAATATTATTAAATATATTTTTTATAACACAAAATTAGCAGCTTAGTAAGAACTTTCACCATCTTGAATGCAAATTAAAATATAAATATATAATGATATTAAGCTAACCTTTGCACTAAAGCTTCCAATTTATACAAACTTTGCCAAATGTTTAAAAAGAACCAACTAAATCTAATCCAAGAAACTGAATAAACCGAAAAATATTAATGCTGGTTTCTAGAAAGCTTCTAAACACAGATTTCTGTTTGCAACTTTCAGCTGTTTAAACGAAATTTTATTAGGTGTTAATCTATTTTTTACTTTGAATATAAAATTTTGATATGCTTTTGTTCGTAATTCTTTAATTTTTCTTACGGCTTAACCGATTTTTGTGTTTTTTTGTGTATGTGTCACCTGGACCATTCTTAGCTATAGTTAAACCTTATATAAGCCGATAGTCCAGCCCCGGACGGATATTCTTGGTTTTTTTTCATTAAGTATATAGGTAGTTGAATATGTTATTTCCATATCTACAATCATCGATAACCAAACAGGTATGTACGTAGGAAAATGCTATGAAAATTGATACTCTATTGTTTACATATATGACCGATTCCGCGAGAGATCAGCTCTACTTATTCAATTTTTACGTTTATTATCTCGCGGTACATTTATTTTTTAAGTCAGGGGTTTTTAATTATTTTATCCTTATTTAATTACTTTTAAACCGTCGTGGGTTTTTTCAAAATTTTTAATTTTGTTTTTTTGTTAATTTATATTTACAAATGAGATCTGTGGTACGACAATGTCCGCTCGTAGGTATAATATGGAAAAGGTATAAAATAATAATCATATAGTTCATCTTTACTTTTAATCAATACAACGTTTTTTAGTTCACTATCAAAGTATAAATTATGATTTTTCATTGAAAATTTAGATTTTGAATTTAAAATGTAATAATATTAAAATACTTCATATTTGTGTTTCTTATCTTGGTCCACTAGTAGGTAAAATATAAAAAAAACATAACTCTCCTTCAGGCACTGTCGGGTAAAAAGAAATAATAATAATAATTTTCTCAAATTCTATAGTTCTTGATTACTTTTAATCATTACAATGTCTTTTTTAGTTTACTCTCAAGTTTAAGCTTTCTTTCATATATATATATATATATATATATATATATATATATATATATATATATATGTCTTTTTTTATGAAAATTTATATTCTGATTAAAATATATTAAAACACCTCGTGTTCATCTTTACTAAGGCTAAATTTATTAAAATTTTAGGTGTATCACAAAACAAATAAACAATTGCCAACATTAATCACTATATAGACTACGTGATCTAGTTAGAACATAATATATCAATATTAGCTAACTGGAATTCCCATTCAACCTAGCGATCTAAACCAATAATGCTTTAGTGCAAAATCAATCCACTTGCTCAGTTGCGTCCCAATGAAGGGCTTTTCAATTGAAGCCATCTGATTTTAATGAGGTATCGGATTTCTATTATCTATCTATACATATAATAAAATTGTAACTAAGTCGAATCTGTACATTAAATATTTTTTGGAAAATCTTATTGAAATAGACATTATTATCGATACAGAGTCCGAATCTATAGTTTTTTGATTTTTTGTTTGTCTGTCTGTTAACGCATCATGCGAAAACCACTGGACAGATTTTGATGAAATTTGGTATGATGATAGCTGGTTATCCGGGTCAACATATAGGGAACTTTTTACCGCAGGAAAATATCTCATTTCTGAGAAGAATACAAAAACTTTTTAAACTTTTTCAGACATTTTTTTAATTTTTTCTCTCCTTAAAAACAATCCTCGTACTTAAAGAAATATTCTAAAAAAAGAATAAGCGAAATCGGTTCAGCTGCTCTCGAGATTTGCGCTTAGCAACACATTCAGCCATTCATTTTTATATTATAAAGATCAGATCAGAAGAAATGTCTTTATATGAATAAAAAGACATGAAATTCGGGATATTTTGTACAAAGTTAGCGAACTTCATGAAAGGCTTCTGATGTTAATAAATAAGGGTTGAGGAATCAAATAACCGTATTAAATATAAAACGAGCAAAGATAATAAAAACGATAGACTAAAAATTTGATATAAGAAAATGTACTTATAATTAATTAATTAATAAACAGGGTAAGTTATATTTATATAAATATAACCTACGCTTATAAATAATTATAATTATTGCTAATAGTGTACTGTAGAGCTGTCGTTTAGTTTTTAAATTGTATTTCTTTGGTATTACTTACAGCGCGACCAACTAACAGACTACATGAGACCATGGTCGCAATGACCATTTATTTATATGATGCTAAATATATTTTAAATAATGGTCACTAACGACCACGGTCATGGTCACGGGCGCTGATCATTGCACCAAAATAAAACTATTTTACTTTGTGCAACTATTGATTATTAAATGTACGGTATACTGAAATAGACTTCTAAAGTTAGACACAATTCTATCTCAGGGACGATATAAACCGAACAGCACGTTCCCGCAATTTCCTATGGGATACATTACATCAATATTTGCACACAATATAGGTGTATAGTGTATGTATAGGTTACAATTTTATACAACTTATAGAAAATCTTGACTAATATCTACGAGTATATCTATACATGTAATAAAATTGTAACTAAGTCGAATCTGTACATTAAATATTTTTTGGAAAATCTTATTGAAATAGATATTATTATCGATACAGAGGCCGAAACTATAGTTTTTAGAATTTTTGTCTGTCTGTCTGCCTGTCTGTCTGTTACCGCATCACGGAAAAACTACTGGAGGGATTTTGATGAAATTTGGTATGAAGGTAGCTGGTTATTTGGGTCAACATATAGGATACTTTTTACAGCGGGAAAATGTCTCATTTCTGAGAAAAAATACAAAAACTGCAATGTAGGAGTATACTTATATGTAAAACCTAAGAATTTGGATTTTGGTCATCTGAACGCGGGCGGAGCCGCGGGCAATGCTAGTCTATATATAAACAGTTAAAGACAAAACGGTTCAGTACCTTTTTATCTAGTGTTCGTCAACCAATTTTTTTTTTATTCAGCAATTATTGACGAGCTTTTGTTTTTTTTTTTAATATAATTATTATGGTCGAATTTAAGCAACTGGGCTGTTGTTGTCTCAAGTAAAAATAAAGTCACAGTTCGCCTCTTTTACTTAACAAAATATTTATATTATATAAATATAATAATCGACAGTAGTACTGAATAAAATCGATTTCACTAGTTATGTTATTAATAACTAGCGACTCGCCTCGCTTCGCTCGGGTACGTCCCTAGGTACGTTTTGACGGTTAGTATGAACTACAAATATTTGAATTTCTCGGCTTTTCTGTACTATAATATGCATGTATTATACATATAAACCTTCCTCTTAAATCACTCTATCTATTAAAAAAACCGCATCAAAATCCGTTGCGTAGTTTTAAAGATCTAAGCATACATAGACAGAGAAAGCGACTTTGTTTTACTGTGTAGTGATTGTCATTTTGGAATTAAATTTTATTATTTTTAATGAATTGATTTATTTTATAACATAAATATAAGAAAATAAATTCATTAGTTTTTTTTATAATAAACTGTAATAAAACCTCATTTCTATTATTTATTAACAAATAAATAATATTTAATTGTATTTTAGTATTTTTTTAAAGTTATTGTTATTTATTCCATGTTTATATTCTAGTCGCTAAAAATGAAAGCGCCTTCCAAAAGTACAATTTTCGTGGGACACTCCTTGACCCAGTCGTGTTGTAACAAAAATTTCCACTTTATATGTATTGCAACGCTGTTTCGTAGCAATTGCAACGAGAATACAAAATAAACCAGCATCTGAGAGCACGTTTTAATAAAAAATAAAAAGTTATAAGCACTCAACATTTTCTACGATATCTTGTTTTTCTCAGTCTTGAAAAAGTAGCACAAAGCAAAAATGAGAAGATCTCTTTCAAATAGATAAGAGTAGGAGTTATCAAAGTAAATAAATAAAGACAATATTGAAATTAATATTACACTAAATAGTTGATACTAATCTGTGACACGTTTGGCTCAGTTTGTAGTGACCCTACTTTCTGTGCCAGCGGTCGCGGGTTCGAGTCCCGCTGGGGGCATTCATTTGTGTGATGAGCATGAATGTTTGTACTCCAGTCATGGGTGTTTATATTTATAATATGTATGTATTTAAAGCTATATATGTGTAGTGTATCAACTATCTGGTATCCATAACACAAGCAGCATCGTAGCTTACCATGGAACTAGATGGTGTGTAGAAAAAAATATAAATAAATAAATAAATATAAATTAAAAAAAAATATGATCACTGATCTGTATATATAAATGTAATTAATGTTGTTCGTTGGTAAACGAATCATTTGAGAACGACTGGAGCAAAATTGGAAAAATTGGCTGTAAAAGTTAAAATTCTGGGGAAACAATTTTTTTTTATATAGGATTTTATACTTAGCTTTTTTTTAACTGGGTCATTTAATATTATAGAAAATATATTTTTATAGAAGAGCAACCGTTAAATTGCTTCAAGCAGCCGCTTGAAGCTTTCCGAGAGACTGACTATAATACGGTTTTTTATTTCAATTATCTATGTTTATTGAAAATTCCTTATTTATTCATATTTAAATTGTATATGACTTCGATAAGAATACAAAGGATAATATTGTAATGATTATTAATATTATATTAATACTAGCGGACCCGACAGACGTTGTCCTGTCTACACGTCTTTAATTTGAAAATTTCAAACTTTTTTTAATAATTTTTTTGATGAAAATTATTATTCAAATTGTGAATCTAAACCATTCCCAGATCCCCTTGAACACACACAAAAAATTTCATCAAAATCGGTCCAGTCGTTTGAGAGAAGTTCAGTGACATACACAATCACAGAAGAATTATATATATAAAGATTATATATTTTCGTAACAAATTTTAGATAGTAAATTTAACAAAATCATAAGTCTACAGATTTAAGACGGTTATATCAACCAAGGCGTTATTAATAATTCTTATCATTCAAACAAATTACAAAATCTCGAGTCCATTATACAATTTTACTTTGGAAACTTTTATAAAATATTGACCAACTTCAGAGCAGTCTTAAAGGAATCTAGAAAAATAGTACGATTCCGAGTTCCAATGACTTATAAATATAATTATGAGATTTTTATATTTTGCTTTTGAAAGAAGTAATAAAAAAATTACTTAATTAGCTAGAAAATTTGAAAGTTCCATAGCTAATCTTTAAGTCATGGCAGCAAAACTAAACGGATAAGTACCACAGAACTATCTGATCTCCGAAGCAAATTTACAACACATTACGAATATTTCCACTCCAAAATCTAAAAACAAGCAAAGAATTGTGAATATGATGATCATTTTCGCAGTTTTATGTTACATGTTCTTATTTATATTCAATAATTATACGACGATTACGATATACGATTACGATATACGATTATCGACGACACGCTTGGCTCAGTTTGTAGTGACTCTACTTGGTGTGCCAGCGGTCGCGGGTTCGAGTCCCGCTGGGGGCATTCATTTGTGTGATGACGAATGTTTGTACTACAGTCATGGGTGTTTATATTTATAATATGTATGTATTTAAAGTTATATATGTGTAGTGTATCAACTATCTGGTATACATAACATAGGCCTCGTATCTTATCATGGAACTAGATGGCGCTGTGTGTTAATGTCCCAACATATTTATTTATTTATATTAATTTTGAATGGAAAATAAAATTCAACATCTCTAAACGAATTACAAATTGTACCCATTTTCTATGTTTTTTGTTTCTTAAGAATACCCAAGTTTAATCTAAAATTACTTGTGTAATAAAAATAGCACTTTTTCTTCTCATCCTTTCAAACGGCGCAATTATGGGAATTTAGCGTTAAAATGATATCCATGTAAATGGCTCGTACTTACATATTCTTTTGAAGGTTCAGGAAGGTGATAGAATCCCCATAACCGGTGAATGCATCTTCACTGATATACGTGATGTTGTTTGAGCGAAGGTCCAAGTGGCGGAGACGATGTAGCGGACGAAGCGCCTCTGAGGGAATCTCGTGTAAGCGATTGTCGCCAAGACGCAAATATTGAAGATTTTCTGCATTCAAATAATATTTTCTAATAAATACACAATAGGAATATTACAATAAAAAACAAATTTTAAATATAATTTAATATTGTTTTTAATGAAAATGTAAACTTTAAATATCGATATTACGATAAGTTCAACGTTATCATCATTTCTTTTCATCATCACCAATTCTATTTAAATGTAAACTATATTTTAGTACATAGCTTACAGCGAGTTTATTTTTGATTCTGAGTGAAACCCCTAATGTGACTGCACTTTTATATATAAAAATGATATATAATGATAAATAGATTTTTCAATTTCTACCTTCAAATATGATGACATTCATACAAACTTTTAACCTCTTATTTACCATCCCATCTTTTATTTAGGGGGTATATTTTCATTTTTTTTTCTTGTTCACTTACGTTATATAAGAAACTTTTGTAAAAAAAATACATGCTTTCCCATTGTATTGTCTATAAGTAAATGAAGTTTAGAGTTATATTGGAATTATTTGTCTATTCATTAAAAATCCTGCAAGTATTGCATATTCTTTTTTGATAATATAACGCGAACTATTTTATGTATTGAACTAGCGACTCACCCTCACTTCGCTCGGGTTCGTCTATAGCTTGCTTCCCAATACAAATTTTCATCCCGATTTTCAACCCCTTAAGGGATGATTTCCGGGATAAAAAGTATCCCATTTCCTTCCCAAGCTCTCAAACTATCCTCTTACAAAATTTCACCTAAATCGGTTCAGTAGATCTAGAGATTACCCCCTACAACGTCACAAACTCACAAACTTTACCTCTTTATAATATTAGTATAGATAAAAAAGTCTATAAGTTTTTAGAATATTGATATTACCTTCTAATCCAGCGAAAGCTTTCTCATCGATTCGTTGAATTTGATTGCCTTCAAGTTCTAGGGAATTGAGAAACGTCAAATGCGAGAACACATTAGCCGGCACTTCTCGGAGCTGGTTGTGTGCCAATCCCAATGAATCTAAATTACGTAAGCCTAAAAGAGAATATTTATATTATAATATACTAGTAAAGTATCTAGTACATAAAAATAGTAACTTTTTTATGTAGATAAAAATACTTATTGTGAGCGTATTTTAGGATATAGATACGTGCTATTACAGATTTTTCTGTAGACCTTTTAAAGACCTACAATGTCTAACTACATTGTTTTCATGAATGAATCTCTTAAGGTTTAACCAGCCTTAGCCATGTAATCGTACGAAAACAGGTTTTTTACAAAACGCCGTCTAGATTCAGTCATTTTGTACAAAATATTTACAAACAATATACACACGTTTATTGGTCTTTCTATTGGTGAAAACTGTATCAAAATCCGATTTGAACAAAGAATCGGAGAAACAGACGCAGACAGAATCTTTATTTCATACTATCTATAGATATATAGGTACTTTATATAATAAATACATGTGTTTTGTATGGAAATAACCCTATGATAATTTATGTACTTATCTATACATATAATAAAATTGTAACTAAGCCGAATCTGTACATTAAATATTTTTTGGAAAATCTTATTGAAATAAACATTAATATCGATACAGAGGCCGAATCTATAGTTTTTAGAATTTTTGTCTGTCTGTTTGTCTGTTACCGCATCACAGAAAAACCACTGGAGGGATTTTGATGGAATTTGGTATCGTGATAGCTGGTTATCCGGGTCAACAATATACACACATAGAATACTTTTTACCGCGCGAAAATATCTCATTTCTGAGAAAAAATACAACTGCAATCTAAGAGTATACTAATATGTAAAATCTAAGAATTTGGTTTTTGGTCATCTGAACGCGGGCGGAGCCGCGGGCAATGGCTAGTGTCTAATAAACATATAAACTTATAATGACTATTGCAAATTTTTTAGTTTGATAATTTATTCCTTATGTATGTAAGTACCTTATGTATGTAAGTTATCTGTATACCTGATGAATTATAATGCCTAACGACAACAAGTAAGACCTCTAGAAGCCAGTAGCATATCCTGCTTTAATTTCAAGATAAATACGTGGTAGGTAAAAAAATACTATCGCTGAGTTTAGTATCTATAGCGGGACTAACGCACAGTCTATTTAAAGCTTTGTTCGAGTACTACTAAATAGATTTAAATCCATGTTCTTTAGCTTATTAAGTAACTCCACAAGGAATATACAAGGTAACGTTGAAATTAATTATTAAAGGATTAATTACTGCTAATGTACTGTGCGCGTTTGCTATTTGTCAAGTAATAATCGTCATCTGGGTTATCATTTGCTGTTGTGATAACTTGTTACAGTCGAGTATGAGACAGGAACAAGTGCTATTCAAATTCAATTTCATATAAAATTAATACTGTCCTTCAGACCGATTTCGGCCACGGCGGCCAATTTCATTAAGACTAGCCATCTGTGCAGGAGATATTATAGTGCACAAGTGTACGCGCAGACACAACGTGCACTCTCTATTCCTGTCACTCTCATACTGCGGTGGGATGACTACTGAAAACGATCAGTGAGAGTTAAGGCGTAGGACCGACGGCTTAACATGCTTGCCGAGGCACGGGGGTGAAACACCGCCGACTTCCCAATTTCTTAAGAAAGACTCAATAACTAAACTTGGCCCGATCCAGGACTCAAACCCAAGATCTCCGATTGGGCAGCCATACATGCTATCCACTACTCCACCGAGGCAGTTAAATTAATAATTACATAATTAATTCAGATCGTTTTATGCTTTTATAATTATTTCATAATTAGCCTGCATCAGGAACCACTATTATATGTTGATAAAAATAGCTTTTATCACTTAGAAAACGTGAAAGTTTTTGTTAGTAAAGAAATTGTACCAATAAAATATATGTACAAACAAAACATACTTTTTTATCTTTTTATAATACAGAACAAAAGCGCTAGCCGTGTCCACGTCTCTTTTTTATTTACTATGTACGTATTACAAACGTACATAATATATCATCTCTGCACAGTCTATATATATATATATATATATATATATATATATATATATATATATATATATATATAATTGTAGACATAAATTAATATTTTGAATCTTATCAAGTTTATTCACCGTAACAATTTTTGCTCATATTCTAAGACCATCCTCATTCAGTCAAACATGCCTTAAACAAAAACTTGGCTATTTAATGTAAATAAAATTGCAATAGTAAGTTAAAACATATACTATTAATGCTAAGGTTTAAAACATACATATATTACTTTAAAATAAAAGTTAAAATTTCATTTTAACATACGTAATTGCTAAAAAAAAGTTACCTGCAAAATCTCCTTCAGAAATAGAGGTGATACGATTTTCTTGCATCTCGAGCTTTTTTAGGTTCTCGAGCAATGCTAGAGCTTTTTGTGGGACCGCTGTCAATTCATTGCCACCGAGATTTAACCTTTTCAGCTTCCTAAGTATAATTAATGGTTTAGCTATGTATATAGTAATTTTACCGAATTATTTAACATAATAAAATAATAAAAAATGTTCTATTTATAACAATGCTTAGCAAAAATGCAATGCTTGAACTAAAACAATATCTGTTGACATTTAAACGTACATTGATGATGTTCTCCTAGCCGATTCCGGCCACGGCGGCCAATCTCAATGAGATTAGCCAACTGCGCAGGAGATATTATAGTGCTCAAGTGTACGCGCAGACACAAGTGCACTCTCTATTCCTATCACTCCCATACTCCGGTGGGACGACCACTCGACACGACCGGTGAGAGTTAAGGCACAGGACCGACGGCTTTACGTGCTCTCCGAGGCACGGGGGTGAAACACCGCCAATTTCCCAACTCCGGGCTGTTACTGAGACTTACTATACAGGAAGACTCAATAACTAAACTTGGCTCGACCCGGGGCTCGAACCCAGGACCTCCGGGTGTGCAGCCGAATAATAAAATATATAATAATAAAAGTACGTTATAAGTAGTATATACATACTATATATTATTAAATTTATAATGTATGCATTCAATTTTCTTTACTACTCTATTTGGGTGTGTATATCTTTATACAGAGAGAAGGAACTAAAGTACACATGTTGAATTTTTCCATATTTTTTTTTAATTTCATTCTTATAAACATAATATTGTGTTTGTTACACACGAACAAAATTGAATAAAAAATAAACTTAAAAAAATATATGAAACCCCAGTTGAAATACATAAACCGAGTTATTATAATTTTACATGTTACAAAAATAAAAAATGCCAGCTTGAAATCACAATAGCTGTCCTATCGCTAGAATAATACTATCGATATTGTTTTATTCAAATAATGTCGAACAAAATCAACAGACATAAAGCTTCCATTCATTTCTTTATAAAATTTGTAGTCGATTAAAAATTTCACTTACTTCTCAAGCCCTTTAAAAGCTTCGCCGTCGATCACCGATATTCTATTTTCGTACAAAGTCAGAATTTCTAAAGTATCCAGACCCAAGAAAGCTCGATTGTGAATTGCTGTCACCTTGAAACAAAAATTTATTTCAGCACATAATATACTTGGAAATATTTTCGACACTTACTAAATGTACCTATGTATTAAACTTCTAAGTGAAATTTAAGAACAATAAACTAGCCAGACTCAAGAATAACACTAACAAATAAGTAACAAAGCGAGTTCTAACGCTAGAAAATATAAGAAAAATAAATAATAATTGTAACAAACTAGCATTTATAGAATGGTTTGGTCTAAAGATTTTATTTTCTTGTAAAAGAAAATAAAAATACTAGAAGAAACTTTTGATTCAAACTATCTTTTGTTATAGTTTTTTATTACTTCAACTTGTAGCAGCTCTTTGATACGTATTACTTGCTCTTTAGCTACATTTATAACGAAATAAAGTGAATGTATACAAATATTATAAGGAGTCAGAGTTTGTTTATTGGTTTCTTTGTTTGTTTGTTTAATCGCGCTAATCTCAAGAACTACTCATTCGATTTGAAAAATTCTTTTTCCATTATATACCCTGTTTATTGAGGAAGGCCATAGGCTATATATCATATAGTATATAATCTATCTTTTCCATACCAATCGTTAAAACGTACGAACCCGAGCGAAGCGAGTGTGAGCCCCTAGTCAATGAATAAATTAATAAATCATATGTTTTATATAGAGAGGACATGAAAGAGACATTCAATCGAGTAGTAAAGTTTTATCGCTAAAGAGCGATCTTTTCTAAGCAACCATTTTAATAAATAGGAATAAAGAAAGTTAAGAAAAACAGACACAACATAATAAATATATAATAACATATAATAATACGTAACATTTACGTCTCCCATAATAAATGTAGACTCATAATCATGTACATTAATTATTTACATGTTATGTGTCATATATAAGAGGCAAAAATACTTGCAATAAATAAGTATGTAAAGGACTTTCAATGTTCATATATAGATATCCTGTCTTATGTTAAGTCAGTGGTGTACTATCGAACTCATTTGGATGTCCAGACTAATGCCACACATTACAGTTAGAAGCGCGTTTTTTGATATTTTCTCACTATAAAAATTACCTTACATGATAGAGCAAAATAAATTGTAATTGAAATTACGATTACTTTGACAATAGTTACGTGATGTTAAACTATATCTAATACACTTATGAAGATATATGTAAGTTTCTATGCTTAGAAAGATAAAACAACTAGCAGAACCCGTGGCTTCGCTCGCGCTAATACTACAAGAAAATCTATATCTACTTCTATACATTTAATAAAATTGTAACTAAGCCGAATCTGTACATTAAATATTTTATGAACAATCTTATTGAAATAAACATTATTAACGACACAGAGGCCGAATCTATACTTTTTAGAATTTTTGTCTGTCTGTCTGTTACAGCATCACAGAAAAACCAATGGAGAGATTTTGATGAAATTTGGTATGGTGATAGCTGGTTATCCGGGTCAACATATAGGATAGTTTTTACCCTGGGAAAATATCTCATCTCTGAAATGCGAATCGTAAATCTAAAAGTTTTAACTGTATATTTTTTCTGACTTCAATTAAAGTTATTATAATTTCGGATAGTAAGCATATTTCCAGTGGAATAAAAAATACCAATAGCACTAAGAGGTAATATCGCATTCTATTGATGAGAGAATTTTTAGAACCGGATCAATAGCTCATAAACTAACCTCTACATACATACAAACATACAAACTTTACCTCTTTGTAATATTAGTGTAGATAGTTGTTTTACATAACGGTTTTTATGATATCTATTTTAGTTTATCTCGCTAGTAGATGGCATTGCAATGTGTGAACTTCTGATAACTGTATAGTTGAAAGCCATGAAAATTGATAAGTACACATTTATATATAAGATATGTTCTAGGGCCATTGTCAAATCATTTTGAATTACATTGTTAATGAATCAGTTTATTTACTCGTCTCATTGATTTAGATAAGATAGCCTTGTAGACCAGTTTTCATAAAGATTCTTCATGTTACATATACAACTAAACTAGCGTTTTCCGGTTCCGCTCACATAGCCTACCACCAACCTATCATATACCTACTAAAACCTTCTCCGAAACACGCTGCATCTTATGGTATGAGTATTATTCCTATCGGTTCAGTAGTTATCGTAGTATAACCGAACAAAAAATCGGCTCTCCATTCATTAGTATAGATGTAGTACCTACTGGTATTATGAATCGGCGGGCCCATTGACTATTTCATATATTATAAGCAAAAACTTGAGACGATATTATAAATTACACTTCACAATCTACAAATCAGTAACACTCAAAGAATTGGTTCTTTATAGTTTTCATGTTGGCTATACTGCTTCGTGTAATATTAATGTTATATGAACATATCCAATATTCAGTTATAATCGACACTAATTAATTATATTTATATGATTTATAGTCCGTTTATTTAGTGATGGCCCCGTGGTTTGTATACAAATACATATAAACTACATATTTGAAATGTCCAAATAAACAAGCTGTAGCATGAATAACGACTTCGGTGTGCATATATACACATAAATCGTCATTATTCCAAACAGTGATACGTAATCAAATGTAGCGACAAGTAGTTAAAAACAGAAGGCGAAAATAACAGGTTCGATTTCTTTTATGTTCACATATACATATATTATATATGGCATTTCCTATCTGTTAAAAATTAAAGGTATCGCCTAATAAGAGTGTTCTAACGTAGAGATTAAACTCATAATTATTTCAATAAACCTGCTAAAGTTATATATAAATTGGCAAAGACTAAACTGTTCAGTACCTTTTATTCCTCTGTTTGTCGATTTTCTTTTTTTTTTGTTTAATCGTTTTTTTTGTTATATGTTTTAGTTAACGACAATTAATGTTATCGATAAAAATTTTGGTAACAGTCAAGTCTCTTTTATATCTATATAGGTAAATTCCATTCCTTTATGTTTTCCCAAAATTTTCCATAACGATAATGGTCGAAAACATCACTGAACGAACAACTAGTATAATTCAATTAAAAGTTAGAACCTTAGTTTGAATAAATGTAGACTTACTTTATTATGATTCATGTTGAGAATTAGTAGGTGGTTTAGGTGAGTGAAGGATGATGTAGGAATCGTCGCCAGATTATTTTGAGACACGTCCAGCTGTGTCAGCTTGTTACCTACAATAAGACAGCGCTATAATAAAATTCAATGCCTTCATATATATATATATAATGATATCAATTTGTTTTCTATGTCATTCTTCTGTTTTATAATCATTTTTTTTATTGGCCCACAAAACAAATTACAAAAAAACACATGTATAAAATAACAATTAATTACAAAATCGCATTTTTCTAGACGGATCACATCACATCACAGCATGTATATTGTATGTACTCGTATAATTATATAACAAAATTTAATTTTACAAAAAACAATTAAATAATTCATTTAGAAGTTTTTTTTATGAATTTAGATATAAATATGTTATTATAATATATTTCTTTGCATATTAAGTGCACTTTATTATACAATAAATGATTTTATAGAAGATGGTACACCTTGGGAATGAAATGATCGCCTCCAGGCTACTTCAACTTGATAGAAATATTGTAAATTATAAGTTTACTTTGAAAAAAGAGTTAATATTAGTCCCGCTGAGTTCCGCCAGTTCTTCTCAGGTCTGAGGCTTCTTCTTCCCGAACTGGTAGTAGACTCAAGACGTTCAGTAAAAAATTGTAATAATTTAATGCTGAATAAAATATTTTGAATTTGAATTTGACTTACCGATAGAACTTAAAGAAGAATCTTCTATAACCGCTAAGCTACTGTTGTGCACAGTGAGATGGCGAATATCTAAACTTAAAAATATATATGCAGGTAACTTGGCGAGGTTGTTATGACGCAATTTCAGATAAAATATTATCATGGGCTTCGATCGCAGTGTGTTCATTGCCTGAAACAAAACGTATATTGTAAATATCATGATATACGAGTATTGTACATCCTACTCTGTTAGCTTCGTTTTGCACTTCTCGTGACATATTACTGTATAAACGTTTGGCTCAGTTTGTAGCGACCCTAATTGCTGTGCCAGCGGTCGCGGGTTCGAGTCCCGCTAGGCATTCATTTGTGTGATGAGCACGAATGTTTGTACTCCAGTCATGGGTGTTTATATTTATAATATGTATGTATTTAAAGTTATATATGTGTAGTGTATCAACTATCTGGTATCCATAACACAGGCCTCGTAGTTTACCATGGAACTAGATGGTGCCGTGTGTTAATGTCCTAACATATTTATTTATTATTTATTTATACTTTATTTATTAAGACTTTATAAAAAGTAAATTGAAAGTAAAAAGAAGACAGAAGATTTTCATCACTTAATAGATTATTATTAATTAGGCATTCCTATCTGTTAGTTCTTTAATTAAAAATAAACCCTGTTTTAAAGAACCAGTTGTTGTTTCAATGTAGCAATTAAAAATATTTTAAAAAGCCTATCTCTACATATAATAAAATTCTAACTTAGTTGAATATGTACATTAAATATTTTTTGGAAAATCCTATTGAAGTAGTCATTATTATCAATACAGAGGCCGAATCTATAGTTTTTAGAATTTGTGTCTGTCTGCCTGTCTGTCTGTCTGGGAACGTATCACGAAAAAAGCACTGGACCGATTTTGATGAAATTTATTGTAATGATAGCTGGATATCCGGGTCAACATATAGGATACTTTTTACCTTGGGAAAATATCTCAGCTCTGAGAAATCTATACTAACCGTTAAAACGTACCTAGGAACGAACCGGAGCAAACCGATGGTGAGTAGCTAGTTTCTACTATATTAATTGAACATTATAATAAATCAAAGATTTTTTTTACTAATCTTACCTTTTGTATGTGTTGTTGTTCAGTGAACTCGCATAGTATGTCAAGGCCATTCTTCTTCACAGTACAGCTGCAAGGGGTGATGGTGGCCTGCGATGGGCATTGCTGAGCTCCCTGAGGGTGTACTGGCCTCGCGAACAACACCACGGAGAAGAGCAGTATCCAACGTGGTAGCATCTTGGAATACCTGAGAGACACTATAGATTACTATTTGTTTTATAATAAATAAGAATATAAATATTGCGTTTTGAATGAAAGTAACTAACCCCACAGTAACTCTACTAAAAATTCTTGATTTTATTGAAGTTTTTATTGTAGATATAATAGTATGTTTTATATGCGAAGTATTCGTACATTATCTTCTAAACATATAATAAAATTGTAACTAAGCTGAATCTGTACATTAAATATTTTTTGGAGAAACTTATTGAAATAGATACTATTATCGATACAGAGGCCGAATCTATAGCTTTTAGAATTTTTGTCTGTCTGTCTGACAACGCATCACGAGAAAACCACTGGACAGATTTTAACGAAATTTGTTATGATGATAGCTGGTTATCCGGGTCAACATATAGGATACTTTTTACTGCGGGAAAATTACTCATCTCTGAGAAATCTATACTATAAAGTAAAACGTAAGTAGAGACGAACCCGAGCAGAGCAAGGGTGAGTCGCTAGTGTTTAAATAAAACTATCTTTTTGGATTTTTTCGCGAATTACAGTACAGTCCAGTTTACTAATCTCCAAACAGAATTTAACTTTTTAGTTGATTTATAATACCAAGTAAATTAAATTTCAATTTGGCTTTTCTTAACCAGGTCAGGATAAATAAACTTATCTAAAACGTAACCATCCTTAAACAAAGCAATAAACTATAATTGGCCTCACACGGGAATGGTACTCATAGACTCCGACGCAATAGGTACAGTGCACACCCAAACAAAGTCGAAGTAAAGAGATAAAATTCCAACTTATGTTTATAATACGAGTAACTCACAACTTTGTTAAAGCCCGCAAATCCCAAGGACTTTAGCTTTCGTAAAAAAATGTATATTGTTACGACACTTAGTTTTCCCAGCAAAATTCAATTTTACTTTGTAGCGTTATTTTATGCATCACAAGGCTTACTTGGATGGCTTAATTATCTTAAGAGCTAATATTTTCATTACAAAATTACCTGAAAACCTCTGTGTAATGAAACGAACAGGAAAAATGGTGAAAAATACATTTATACTGTTATCTAACGCCGAGTAATTACAGCGTAACTAGTTATCTACGGTAGCTCCGAATAAAGAATTACTCTGCTATATCATTTAAATTATACAAAAATATATATTGTTTTATTATCCTAATATGCAATATTATAAACGCGAAAGTTTGTAAGTATGTATGTATGGATGTATGTTTGTTACTCTTTCACGCCAGAACGGCTGAACGGAACTGGATGAAATTTGGCACAGAGATAGACTATAGTCTGGAATAACACATAAGCTACTTTTTATCCCGGAAAAATATACGGTTCCCGAGGGATAGATTTGTTTTTGTTTTTCTAGAGGCGGACCCGAGCGAAATGAGGGTGTTCATTCTCCATTCAATTACGTTGGGTTCAATCCTATTTGAATGTCACGCGGCGGACCTGGCCAATACCAAGGTTCACGTAATGAACATACTGATCGTACTGCATTTTGATTGGTTCCGGGCTGGAATGACTGGTGATGTGTTGCTACCGGTACAGGCGCCGCTATAAAATTCGTTTTCTATTTTAAAATACGCCCCACTCGTCTATTCCTGCTCTAAGAGAACGCGCGAACCACATACAACCCTTAACTCGAAGTGAATTCAATAGTGTGAACAGTGTCGCGTCCATATATACCAGCTTATAGCACAAAGTCTGTGCTGGGCTGCCCAACTTAGCTCCGCCGCCATCCACGAAGATACGGCGTTAAACCTCGACCAGGCACCTCGGCTTGGATTGCCACAGTACGACCGGTAAGTGCTTGTTGTTGTCCAGGCCCATTATGCGTTTCATTTGAATATCGTTGAACCGATCGTTTTATCGGCAGAACATCCTGTTCTGATCAAGAGTGTCGTCACCGGACCCTCGGCAGGTCCGTGTCGCCACATCTTTTGGTGCCGAAACCCGGGAACAAAGGTGCCTAGTTATATCGCTTGCCGTATTTGAATTCGTTAATATAGCTGGTATTTTTTGTCCGTAAAGTAATAAGTATACTACCTACTCTAGTCGAAAGTATTACTCATAATACATCATTTTACAACATTACAAAGCATACTTTTTTGTAATATATAAAATATAAAAATAATCTATACCTACTTTCGGCCATTGTCTCATACATCATACTTAATACTGTACCTTAATACGCTCCTTCACTAACCGACATCTTGTTCACCACTTTTGAATATCATTCACATTCAATTGCAACGTTCACATTTTCACTTAACTTCGTTCGTTATTATTAATAATACGTTATAAAACCTGCATACAGTTTAAATAATATAACTACCTATCGCAGATGATTCGTGCACTTTCTTATACGTAGAATGTTAGATAGTTACAGATCAAATATAAACAATCTATACATTTATACGGTGTTTATATAATCTTAATCGGCTGTAGCAATTTAATATTCACTAACTCACAACATAACGAAACTCAATCAACGTATTTACATCTAAATATTTGTTCCTTCGCAAGATATACCTACGTTGCATTGTACTCATACACGCCACCGTCGCGCAGTAAGACGCGCATATGACTAATTAGAGAATTGCAAGTTAAAGACAACTTATACGTAGTTATAACTATTATTCGCTTATAACATTATATTGCTTTATTACAGTTATCTCGTAACCATTATATTTTCTTTTTATTTTACAAAATGTCGTTTAATCCAAAACGTAGTAGCCGTAAACTTAATACTTCTAGTAAATCGAAGATAAAACAGACGGGAACAGAATGCTATACTGTTCATGACTTACCATCTCTCAAAAGGAAACGTACTATTGCATTAAATCGTATGTTAAAAGCATTGGAAATCGGTAAGAAAGCAAAAGGCGATGAGGTTCACTGTGACCTTTTTTTCTCGTACTGCGATCAGGCAAAAAGGTTTGTGTCTGAGTTTGAAGAAGCGCATTTCTTTATACTCGAACTTTTGGACTCGTGTGATGGCAGCGTTGATGATGATGACATACGTGCGCGTTTTGACGATGCATACTTTCAAGTCATGGCTATACTTCGTAGTTTAACGAGAGGTGAATTGAATTTATCTGACACGTCTAATATGTCGGCTGGCACGAGTTCTAACATCAAATCTCCTTTGTCTCATGTACGCTTACCGAAAATCCAATTACCGAGTTTTTCAGGCAATATAAAGAAGTGGCCTGAGTTTATCGATACATTTAACGCTCTTATACATCATTGTAACTCCATAACGGACGTTGAGAAATTTCATTATTTAATCTCTTCGTTAAGCGGCGATCCGTTGTCACTTATTCGTGTGTTTCCCGTAACCGGTGACTATTATTCAGATGCGTATGCCGCGTTAATCGCGCGCTATCAGAATACTCGTGAATTAGCTTATACCTGTTGGAAGGATATTTTAAATGTAAATTTGAAAATTCAAAATATAAATGACTTTCGTCGTAGCTTGGACAGTATTGATGAGAATTTGAGTATTTTAAGAAAGTTAAATTTACCTGTTGAGCAATGGGAATTTATAATCGTTTATCATGTTCTATCGAAATTAGAATCGAAGTTGCGCCGGGATTTCGAAGAAAGTTGTTGTAGTTCTGAATTTCCTAAATATATTAATTTGAAAGAGTTTTTTACATTCAAGATGTGAAGCGCTTATACGAGATAATCATTTTTCTGAAGCTACTAAAGCCGCTTTTCATGTTGTAAAGGATTCGATTAGGCCTCCTTCTAATATTGTTAAACGTCGTCCTGTTACTCACACATTAGTCTCTAGTCATTCGGATGATAAACTAAAAACTGGAGAAACGCGGCATGACAACTCCAAGGTTATGCCTAAATGCTCGTTTTGCACAGATGCTACTCATTCAATTGCACATTGTAAGCGATTTCTATCAAAATCGGTAGATGAACGCATGTCTGTTGCAAACGAAAAAAGATGGTGCTTCAACTGCCTTAAATCATCTCATCAATTAAAAGAGTGTAAGTCGATTTTCCGATGCCTTAAATGTAAACATAAACATCACACATTGCTTCACAAAGAGCAATCTACCGATACCCCGTCTCGTTCTGTGTCCTTAATCGCCAAGGCCTCTGGTTACGAATTATGTACAAAATCTTCACTAAACACAACTGTTCTTCTTGCTACCGCTATAGTGCAGATAGTAGATGAAAAGGGTCGGTATCATTGTTTTCGGGCACTGTTTGATACTGGCAGCCAAAACAATTTAATTACTTGTGACGCAGCTCGAACCTTAAATATTAAACAAGTACCATGCGATGCAAATATTAACGGTTTAGGTGGATTGTCTGCAGATGTTAGTCACATGGTTCGTTGTTCACTCGCATCAAACAACAAGGTTTTATTCGATGTTGACATGCATGTCATATCAACTATTTGTGGCGATCAGCCTATTGCTAAACTTAATACGAATGGTTGGTCTCACATTCAATCGTTACCCTTGGCAGATCCAGGTTTCGATATACCTGGGCCTATCGATATTTTGCTTGGTGCAGATATATTCGCTGATTCTCTATTGGACCAATGTATGAAGGGTCGGTCTAATCAACCTGTTGCGATGAATTCAGTCTTTGGATGGCTTTTATTAGGTAGAACACACCTCACATCCTCGTCCTTATTACAATATACAGCCAAATCCGACGAGCTGACTTCTATGGTTCAACGCTTCTGGGAGATTGATAATGTTCCTCAAGCATCAATTCTCACACCACTAGATATGGCATGTGAAAAGGCATATGTCACCGACCATTATCGTGATTCAACAGGCAGATACGGAGTTCAGTTACCTTTTAAGGATGGTATAGAGCCAAAGTTTGAGAATTCTCGTAGTCTTGCTTTAAGGCGTTTCAAGGCCATTGAGAACCGTCTCTCCCGCGATCCGACGTTATATAAGCAGTATTCAGAATTCATGGAGGACTATGAGAAGAGTGGCCATATGACGCTTGTCCCCGTGAAGGAGCTCGGTGAAGGTAAATATTATATACCACATCACTGCATTGTTAAACCAGATAGTAGCACCACAAAACTTCGCGTTGTTTTCGATGCATCGGCCCGAGACGCCAGCGGTAGGTCGTTAAACGACACGCTACTGACAGGCCCTAAGCTTCAGAGTGATATAGTGCAGGTTCTTCTCCTTTTTCGTTTACACGTAGTTGTGTTTTTAGCGGATATACGTCAGATGTATAGACAGATTCTTGTAGCTGATAATCATAGAGATTATCAACGGATTCTTTGGAGGTCTAGCCCTGGTGAAGTTTTGCAGGAATACAGGTTAAATACTGTCACCTACGGAGTCTCCTCTGCACCGTTTCTAGCATGTAGAACTCTTAAACAGCTAGCTGAGGATGAAGGCTCTGCATTTCCTCTAGCAAACCAAATTCTGCATAGCGAGATTTATGTTGACGACATTGTAACCGGTTGTGAGACTCTGGACGAGGCTCTAGAGGCTAAAGCACAAATTATAGAGCTTTTGGAATTAGGGCATTTCCAGTTGAGGAAGTGGGCCAGTAGCATACCAGAGTTACTTTCTGATATTCCTCAGGAAGAATGTCTGCTTAGTTCCAAAACATTTACCGGCCATGACTCTTGTAGCCTAAAGGTGCTTGGTTTAAAGTGGGAGCCAACTACCGATACATTTTCCTTTGATGTTAAATCTTCAATCCGACCTTGTACAAAACGAGTTATTCTTAGCGAGATCGCGAAGATCTTCGACCCCTTAGGTTTCCTTGCACCTCTAACCATCAAGGCGAAGTGCCTCTTGCAACGGCTCTGGCTGCTTGGTATCGATTGGGACAGTGATCCACCCGAAGATGTGAATAGCGTGTGGGAAACATTTTGCAATCAGCTGTCTATATTAAAGGACCTGCGTATACCACGGTGTATGACAATTAACAACACTTTAACGTACGAATTACATGGATTTTGTGATAGCTCGGAGCTTGCGTATGGAGCAGTTATTTATATTCGAGTTTCAACTGCAGACGGATTAACACAAACACGATTAGTATGTGCCAAAGCTCGAGTAGCTCCCATTAAGAAAATCTCTTTGCCTCGATTGGAGTTGTGTGCAGCCGTCTTGCTGACAAATTTAGCAAAATTTGTGCTGGATACATACTTAACAAAATTAACGCTCCACGCTATTTATCTATGGTCTGACTCGACCGTCGTCCTATCTTGGCTTCGTTCACACTCCTCTCGATGGACCACGTTCGTAGCTAATCGTGTGGGACATATCCAGGATATTTTCTCTACGGAGGTATGGCATCACGTAGCGTCTTCAGACAATCCTGCGGATATTTGTTCACGTGGGAATCTTCCTTATGATCTATTTCATAACTCATTATGGTGGTCAGGGCCAGTGTGGCTAGTAAAACCGTCCGATCAATGGCCAACCAATAGAAAACCTTCTCAATCTTATAGTTCTGAGGACGAAAACATCGTAAGAGCTGAAGAGCGCCGTACAGTTGTTTTGGCTACTTGTTCAAAAGATGAGTATGGCACTCTTATCCTCAATTTAATAAAATTATATTCGTCGTTAGAAAAAATAATGCACATCGTTTCTTATATTCGACGATTTATACATAATACGAAAAATCCACATGATCGTCATAGAGGCTCAATTCTAACTGAAACCGAAAATCATAACTCATTGTTATTTATCGTGAAATTTGTCCAATCTTCATCATTTGCTGGTGAAATTCAACGGCTTCGAGCAAAGCAACCACTACCAAAACCGTTGCGTAAATTAAATCTGTTTCTGGATGAGGATGGTATTCTCAGGGTGGGCGGTCGGATATCCCGTGCTGGTCTTGAATTCGAACACCGACATCCCGCTCTTTTACCTAGTAACCATGAATTTACTTATAGGGTTATCGAATCCATACACCGTCAACATTGCCATACGGGGCATAATACTACGCACTACTTAATATTGCAACGGTTCTGGATATTGTCAGCTAAACGTGTTATACGACGTTGTCTTTCCCAATGTATTAGATGCTTTAGAACAAAACCTAAATCGTTAGAGCCATACATGAGCGATCTTCCTTCATTTCGTGTTAATCAAGTGAAACCATTTTCTATCGTGGGTGTTGACTTCGGCGGACCTTTCCGTATCAAACCAGGTACACATCGTGGAGCCAAAATAGATAAGGCTTATCTCTGTTTATTTGTATGTTTAGCTACAAAAGCCGTCCATTTGGAAGTCGTATCATCGTTGTCAGCTGATGGATTTTTGGCAGCATTGCGTCGTTTTGTTGGACGTCGTGGTCGTTGTAATGTGATCCATGCAGATTGTGGAACAAATTTCATAGGTGTGAGCAATCATCTATCCTTACTAAAGAATGCCTTGCATACGGAACGAATTAAATTTGAATTTAACCCTCCGTCAGCCCCTCACTTTGGTGGTGTGTGGGAAATTCAAATCAAAGCGGCCAAATCTCATCTGTATCGCATTATAGGTAATCAGGTTTTAACTTTCGAAGAACTGTCCACGCTATTTGTTCAAATTGAAGCAGTGCTAAATTCGAGACCTCTTTATGCGTTAAGTACCGATCCAAATGACTTAAATGTTCTAACTCCTGGTCATTTCTTGACTTTAGAACCTCTTACGACCGTCCCAGATGTAGATTATACTAATATAAAACTTCATAGATTAACCCGTTGGCAGTTAATTCAGTCCTTCCTACAGAATTTTTGGATTCGTTGGAAAAACGAATATTTACACTCATTAACCTTACGTGCTAAATGGACAAAGACCTCTAAGCCACTCGATGTAAATGCTGTTGTTTTGATAAAGGATGACAATCGTGCTCCATTGCAATGGTCTTTAGGAAGGGTGACGGAGTTGCATCCCGGTCCGGATGGTATCGTCCGAATAGCAACCGTTAAAACTAAGGAAAGCTTGATTAAACGACCTCTTGTAAAGCTATGCCCTCTTCCTATCGAATCGTAATTCACATGATCTTGAGCTATTGTATACTAAACTAACGTTTTTAACATATATCATATTTTATACTATAACATTATCAGTCGTAGCATATATTATTCGTAACACATACATATACAATATACCTTATACTATTATTTATTTTATACTTAGATTATCGTTTTTTTTTTATTATTATTTACCTATTAATCTGGAAAATACCAGCTGTATTTTGGTGGGCGGTATGTTCATTCTCCATTCAATTACGTTGGGTTCAATCCTATTTGAATGTCACGCGGCGGACCTGGCCAATACCAAGGTTCACGTAATGAACATACTGATCGTACTGCATTTTGATTGGTTCCGGGCTGGAATGACTGGTGATGTGTTGCTACCGGTACAGGCGCCGCTATAAAATTCGTTTTCTATTTTAAAATACGCCCCACTCGTCTATTCCTGCTCTAAGAGAACGCGCGAACCACATACAACCCTTAACTCGAAGTGAATTCAATAGTGTGAACAGTGTCGCGTCCATATATACCAGCTTATAGCACAAAGTCTGTGCTGGGCTGCCCAACTTAGCTCCGCCGCCATCCACGAAGATACGGCGTTAAACCTCGACCAGGCACCTCGGCTTGGATTGCCACAGTACGACCGGTAAGTGCTTGTTGTTGTCCAGGCCCATTATGCGTTTCATTTGAATATCGTTGAACCGATCGTTTTATCGGCAGAACATCCTGTTCTGATCCAGAGTGTCGTCACCGGACCCTCGGCAGGTCCGTGTCGCCACAGAGGGTGAGCCGCTAGTTAAAATAAATTTTCTTGACGTGCCTTCATGTGAATAGTAAACTAATACTATTATTTCCATGAAAAATACTTATATGTAAAACATGTTCTTTAACATTAAATACGAACTATTACAGTCGCTAATCTTACTAATACGAGTTATAAATATGAAAGTTTAGATGTTTGGCTGTTTGTTACTCAATCAAGGATTGAACGGATCTGGATGAAATTTGGCACAGAAATAGCTGATAGTGTGGAATAGCACGTAGGCTTTTTATCCCGGAAAAATGTGCGATTCCCGTGGGATAGATTTGTTTTTACGAAACGAGAGTGAGTAAAAAATATTTTATTTGTATATAATAGAAACATTTACGGTATTTGAAATTGGCGATATTATACTTCAACAAATATAGAATTTAGTTATAAAAATAGTAATTGAAAGATTAATTGGCTTAAATATTCTTTTCTTTTGTTGAAATTGTCGTAATAATTGCTTAGATTGCAATCTCAAAGGAGCTTAGTTTGGTTCAGTGTACCTACATATTATAGCTATACTCGCGATACGACTTCCGGTTACGAAGGTCGGGTCACGAAAGAACGGCGCAAGGTTAGTGGGTACCAAATAATTTATATTAATTACATGCATGTACATATATTTACTTATGATATGTAGAAAGCTTCGTTTTGTTTATAGTTCTACATTTCAATGGTTGCTTTTTCAACCTTGAGTACTTATGGGATCGCTCTATGAATATTTAATCGAATTAACTTTTCACCAAATTGTAACAGGAAATACGATACGAAACCGGACATAAATTTCAATAATTGTTGATTTAATTTCTTTTAAAACAGTAATGAAATAAGTATTATGCACTGATGTGACTAAATAAAAAACATGTATTTTACAACTCAAAACGTTATATATTTCCTGAATAAACTTAGTTTCTACTACATTGAGTATACACATCAAGACAAGTAAAAAGACAAGTGAGTGTGAGAGAAAAAAAAAAAAAGAAACAGGGTTACCAGCTAATTAATGTAATTACATTGCCATCTTTTAACACCCTCCCTCAATGTAATTACTCATTACATTTAATAAGAATCTGCTAGTGTTCAGGTGTTCTTTTACTTATTTAAGTAATCTATTTAGATTGACTATATGCTATAACAAACTAATATTAAACAAAAAAAAAAACAAACTAAACTAATTGTTTTCCACACCACATTTCTTAGTAAATTTTAAAAATAATTCATTATTCAGAGGTTTTGTAAAACCATCAGCTGGTTGCTCATTTGAATTTATGTAACTAACACTTATTTTATTATCTTTAATTAGATCTTTAATAAAATGAAAGCGAATATCTATATGTTTTAAACGTTTAATAGACTCGGTTGCTGCAGTTAAGATTGCTGACTGATTATCGCAAGAAATATTTACTGGGCAAATATTCTGAAAACCAAAGTCATTTAACAAATTTATTATCCAACAAGCTTCACTGGCAGCCATGCTCATAGCAACATACTCTGACTCAGTTGATGACAGGCTCACTGAGGCTTGTTTTCTGGAAGTCCATAATATCAGGCAATTTGAAAATTTAAACATATACCCAGATGTGGATTTTCTGTCCCTTAAATCTCCACCCCAGTCAGCATCACAAAACCCTTCTAAATTGCCATCTGTACATTTATAAACTAATTTGTAATTTATTGTATGTTTTACATAGCGTAACACTCTTTTTAAAGCAGTAAGTAAACATTATTTGCACAATTTTGATACCTGCTCAACATTGAGACTGCAAAACACAAATCTGGCCTTGTACCCTGTACAGCATACATCAAACTTCCAATTATTTGCCTACACAATTTTACAATGTTTCTATCTGCATGTTGATTTAATAAGCTTTCAGAGTTAAAATTACTATCCATTGGTGTGGTCTTAGGTTTACAATTTTCCATTTGAAATTTTTTAAGAACATTTTCTAAATAACTTTGTTGACTAAGTTCAGTAACACCAGACTTTAAGTTTTGGTTCACATTAATACCTAAAAAATTTGATATTAACCCTAAGTCTTTCATTTTAAATTCCCTAAACAAAACTGTTTTAAGTTGATTAATTTCAGATTTATTTGTTCCAAATATTAATAGATCATCGACATATAATAACAAAAATATTTTACCTTTACCATTACATTTTTTATACAAGCAAGGGTCACAGCTAGATCTATCGAAACCCTCTTTACTCATTACATCATTAAACTTATTATTCCAACATTTAGGAGACATTTTTAACCCATACAGTGATTTATTGAGTTTAACTATATTATTATTATTAGAATAAGCCCCATCTGGCAACTGAATATATACATCTTCTTTAATTTCTCCATACAGAAAAGCCCCGGTGACATCCATTTGATGAATTTGTAAGTTTAATTTGTAGCAATAACCACAAAAATTCTAAATGTTGCCAGCTTTGCTACTGGGGCATAAATATCTTGATAAGTGAATAAATCATTTTGCTCGAAACCCCTTGCTACTAACCTAGCCTTATATTGATTTGAACTTTTAATTTTAAATACCCATTTGCTACTTACAATTTTACTTGAATCAACAGGTACATCACACACATGCCATACATTATTTTCACTCAGTGTTTGTAACTCTCTATCTATGGCCTCTCTCCACTTGGAAGCATCACTTCTATTCATAGCGTCCTTGTATGTCACAGGCTCAGAATCACCATGCACAAAATTACATTTATAAAATGATGTTTGTTTCCTTTTTCTTAAAGGTCTCTCAAGTTTGTAAGCTTGTGTATTGTCATCGCTAGATAAACTTGAATCATTCGTCCATGGTTCATATTCACTTTCCGATTGTGTTTTATATGACAAATCTTCATTGCTTTCTTTATTAGCCTCTTGTAGTGTTTTATATGACAAATCCTCAATGTCCTCTGAATTATTTTCTTCATTTACAGTTTCAGCCTCCTGTGATAGTTGGTCTTCTAATGGCATTATTTTAATTGATTCCTGAACTGTATTTATTTCATTTTCTAAGAAAACTATATCTCTCTTCATTTCTATGGTATTTTTCTGTGGAAAATATATCCTGTAACCTTTTATATCTTCACTGTATCCCACCATCAATCCCTTTTCTCCTTTCTTGTCCCACTTTCTTCTTCTTTCTTTTGGGATGTGCGCATACACTGAATCACCAAACACCTTCAATATACTAATATCAAATGTCTTGTTTGTCCAAACTTCAAAAGGTGATTTTCCATCCTCCTTACTCTTTCCAGTCCTATTAAGCACAAAAACTGCTGTATGTACAGCCTCTGCCCACAACTTTTTGGGTAAATTTTTCGCATACATCATTGTCCTGGCAGCTTCAACCAATGTCCTGTTCTCCCTTTCTGCCTTTCCATTTTGCTCCGGTGTGTATGGTACAGTCAGTTGATGTGTTATACCACGACTTGAGAACACTTCTTTTACCTCCTTATTTGTGAATTCCAAACCATTGTCGCTTCTAAATATCTTAACCTTATTACCCGTCATATTTTCAGCCTTATTTAGAAAATCTTCAATACAGCTCTTTATTTCGTGTTTATTTTTGACAAAATAAACAAATCTGAAGTTTGAGAAGTCATCTTTCATTAAAACAAAATACTTCGATCCGCCTAGCGAGGCTTCTTCCATCGGGCCACACGTATCAGCGTGTATCAATTCACATGTCTTTGTGCTAATGTAATCACTTCTTGAAAACGGTAATCGGTGAATTTTTCCTTGTAAACAATTTTCACATTTGGGAATTGATTTTTGTTTAATGTCGATGTTGTTTTTCTGCAACACTTTCTTGACGTATTCAAAATTTTGATGTGCTAATTTTTCGTGCCACATATTTAAATCATTCAGCTCTGATTTAACAACGTTTGCCGTATTACATTTAAAGCGTAAATTCATGTAATAACCATTTCCAATTCGATTTGCAATCGCATACACGTCGCCGTGTTTGTAAAATTTGCAAAAGTTTTCATCTGTCATCATGACATATCCTTTATCGGTAGCTCGATTTACAGAAAACAAATTAATTTTTAAGTCAGGAACAAATAAAACGTTATCTATGGTTGTATCGATCCATTCATTTCCGTTTTGCACCTGCACTGCCATCTGTCCGCATCCTAACACATTAATTGCCACGCCGTTTACCTACTGTCACCATCTTTTGCGAATGATTTGCAAAATGCGTAAATAATGAACGATCACAGCACATATGTTCATCTGCACCAGAGTCTACAAGCCACTTAGATTCTTGATATTGTCCATACACTGTATTAGACACCACAAACGCATTAATCTTTTTATTATTATTACGTTTATTATTGTTCTTATTTTTCTTGAACCAACACTGTGTTTGAAAATGACCAACTTTACCACAGTAAAAACATTTGTTATTTTCATTCTCTTCGCAGTTTTTTTTAACACTTTTACACTCGCTCTGGAAATGTCCTATTTTCCCGCACTTGAAACAGCTTCCAGACTTTTTATTCTTCACTACAAAGGCAGACGATGATGAACTTTGCTGGGGTTCTTCATTTTTTTGCCCTTTAACCTTTCTTCCTCCATTAGCAACCTCGCCACTATGTTATCCAAGGTTTGCTTATTATCAGGAGCTGATTCCCATGCTGAGATAAAATGTTTGTATTCGTCAGGCAGCGACATAAGTATTTTCGTAATTATAAATTTTTCAGAAATTTCTTCACCCATCTGTTTAAGCTGACTCTGTATTTCTTGAATTTTTGACAAAAATACAGACATATCGGTACCTTTTTCGTACTTATATTGAAAGAATTTTTGTTGTACAATGTGAATGCTCGTTTCTGTTTTCTGTTCATACACACTCTGTAGCTTCCTCCACATCTCCGCTGATGTCGAACACGAAATGATATGTAGTATTACATCTTCAGTCATCCTAGTAACTATTAAAGTCTGCGCCTTAGCATCCTTGTTTTCCCAAGCTATTTTCTCACTGGCTCCTTCGGTTTCATACAACGACCTTCTACTATATCCAGCCAACCTTGTCCGCGTAACAGTACTCTCATTTGAAATTTCCATATATTCCAGTTCTTGGAACCTTCCAGTTTAAACACGTTCACGTTTTGATTGATTTCCATCGTTATTTGTTCCGCCTTCCTGCACAATATGGCGACTTCCTAACCTCAATTTTCCGGTTAGTCTGAGTGCAGTAATTCAACCACTGCTTTTATTTAATTCACAGAGGTATATGTGTCTGGGCCCATAACCTGATGTGACTAAATAAAAAACATGTATTTTACAACTCAAAACGTTATATATTTCCTGAATAAACTTAGTTTCTACTACATTGAGTATACACATCAAGACAAGTAAAAAGACAAGTGAGTGTGAGAGAAAAAAAAAAAAAGAAACAGGGTTACCAGCTAATTAATGTAATTACATTGCCATCTTTTAACGTGATGATGTGACTAAATAAAAAACATGTATTTTACAACTCAAAACGTTATATATTTCCTGAATAAACTTAGTTTCTACTACATTGAGTATACACATCAAGACAAGTAAAAAGACAAGTGAGTGTGAGAGAAAAAAAAAAAAAAGAAACAGGGTTACCAGCTAATTAATGTAATTACATTGCCATCTTTTAACACCCTCCCTCAATGTAATTACTCATTACATTTAATAAGAATCTGCTAGTGTTCAGGTGTTCTTTTACTTATTTAAGTAATCTATTTAGATTGACTATATGCTATAACAAACTAATATTAAACAAAAAAAAAAACAAACTAAACTAATTGTTTTCCACACCACATTTCTTAGTAAATTTTAAAAATAATTCATTATTCAGAGGTTTTGTAAAACCATCAGCTGGTTGCTCATTTGAATTTATGTAACTAACACTTATTTTATTATCTTTAATTAGATCTTTAATAAAATGAAAGCGAATATCTATATGTTTTAAACGTTTAATAGACTCGGTTGCTGCAGTTAAGATTGCTGACTGATTATCGCAAGAAATATTTACTGGGCAAATATTCTGAAAACCAAAGTCATTTAACAAATTTATTATCCAACAAGCTTCACTGGCAGCCATGCTCATAGCAACATACTCTGACTCAGTTGATGACAGGCTCACTGAGGCTTGTTTTCTGGAAGTCCATAATATCAGGCAATTTGAAAATTTAAACATATACCCAGATGTGGATTTTCTGTCCCTTAAATCTCCACCCCAGTCAGCATCACAAAACCCTTCTAAATTGCCATCTGTACATTTATAAACTAATTTGTAATTTATTGTATGTTTTACATAGCGTAACACTCTTTTTAAAGCAGTAAGTAAAACATTATTTGCACAATTTTGATACCTGCTCAACATTGAGACTGCAAAACACAAATCTGGCCTTGTACCCTGTACAGCATACATCAAACTTCCAATTATTTGCCTACACAATTTTACAATGTTTCTATCTGCATGTTGATTTAATAAGCTTTCAGAGTTAAAATTACTATCCATTGGTGTGGTCTTAGGTTTACAATTTTCCATTTGAAATTTTTTAAGAACATTTTCTAAATAACTTTGTTGACTAAGTTCAGTAACACCAGACTTTAAGTTTTGGTTCACATTAATACCTAAAAAATTTGATATTAACCCTAAGTCTTTCATTTTAAATTCCCTAAACAAAACTGTTTTAAGTTGATTAATTTCAGATTTATTTGTTCCAAATATTAATAGATCATCGACATATAATAACAAAAATATTTTACCTTTACCATTACATTTTTTATACAAGCAAGGGTCACAGCTAGATCTATCGAAACCCTCTTTACTCATTACATCATTAAACTTATTATTCCAACATTTAGGAGACATTTTTAACCCATACAGTGATTTATTGAGTTTAACTATATTATTATTATTAGAATAAGCCCCATCTGGCAACTGAATATATACATCTTCTTTAATTTCTCCATACAGAAAAGCCCCGGTGACATCCATTTGATGAATTTGTAAGTTTAATTTTGTAGCAATAACCACAAAAATTCTAAATGTTGCCAGCTTTGCTACTGGGGCATAAATATCTTGATAAGTGAATAAATCATTTTGCTCGAAACCCCTTGCTACTAACCTAGCCTTATATTGATTTGAACTTTTAATTTTAAATACCCATTTGCTACTTACAATTTTACTTGAATCAACAGGTACATCACACACATGCCATACATTATTTTCACTCAGTGTTTGTAACTCTCTATCTATGGCCTCTCTCCACTTGGAAGCATCACTTCTATTCATAGCGTCCTTGTATGTCACAGGCTCAGAATCACCATGCACAAAATTACATTTATAAAATGATGTTTGTTTCCTTTTTCTTAAAGGTCTCTCAAGTTTGTAAGCTTGTGTATTGTCATCGCTAGATAAACTTGAATCATTCGTCCATGGTTCATATTCACTTTCCGATTGTGTTTTATATGACAAATCTTCATTGCTTTCTTTATTAGCCTCTTGTAGTGTTTTATATGACAAATCCTCAATGTCCTCTGAATTATTTTCTTCATTTACAGTTTCAGCCTCCTGTGATAGTTGGTCTTCTAATGGCATTATTTTAATTGATTCCTGAACTGTATTTATTTCATTTTCTAAGAAAACTATATCTCTCTTCATTTCTATGGTATTTTTCTGTGGAAAATATATCCTGTAACCTTTTATATCTTCACTGTATCCCACCATCAATCCCTTTTCTCCTTTCTTGTCCCACTTTCTTCTTCTTTCTTTTGGGATGTGCGCATACACTGAATCACCAAACACCTTCAATATACTAATATCAAATGTCTTGTTTGTCCAAACTTCAAAAGGTGATTTTCCATCCTCCTTACTCTTTCCAGTCCTATTAAGCACAAAAACTGTTGTATGTACAGCCTCTGCCCACAACTTTTTGGGTAAATTTTTCGCATACATCATTGTCCTGGCAGCTTCAACCAATGTCCTGTTCTCCCTTTCTGCCTTTCCATTTTGCTCCGGTGTGTATGGTACAGTCAGTTGATGTGTTATACCACGACTTGAGAACACTTCTTTTACCTCCTTATTTGTGAATTCCAAACCATTGTCGCTTCTAAATATCTTAACCTTATTACCCGTCATATTTTCAGCCTTATTTAGAAAATCTTCAATACAGCTCTTTATTTCGTGTTTATTTTTGACAAAATAAACAAATCTGAAGTTTGAGAAGTCATCTTTCATTAAAACAAAATACTTCGATCCGCCTAGCGAGGCTTCTTCCATCGGGCCACACGTATCAGCGTGTATCAATTCACATGTCTTTGTGCTAATGTAATCACTTCTTGAAAACGGTAATCGGTGAATTTTTCCTTGTAAACAATTTTCACATTTGGGAATTGATTTTTGTTTAATGTCGATGTTGTTTTTCTGCAACACTTTCTTGACGTATTCAAAATTTTGATGTGCTAATTTTTCGTGCCACATATTTAAATCATTCAGCTCTGATTTAACAACGTTTGCCGTATTACATTTAAAGCGTAAATTCATGTAATAACCATTTCCAATTCGATTTGCAATCGCATACACGTCGCCGTGTTTGTAAAATTTGCAAAAGTTTTCATCTGTCATCATGACATATCCTTTATCGGTAGCTCGATTTACAGAAAACAAATTAATTTTTAAGTCAGGAACAAATAAAACGTTATCTATGGTTGTATCGATCCATTCATTTCCGTTTTGCACCTGCACTGCCATCTGTCCGCATCCTAACACATTAATTGCCACGCCGTTACCTACTGTCACCATCTTTTGCGAATGATTTGCAAAATGCGTAAATAATGAACGATCACAGCACATATGTTCATCTGCACCAGAGTCTACAAGCCACTTAGATTCTTGATATTGTCCATACACTGTATTAGACACCACAAACGCATTAATCTTTTTATTATTATTACGTTTATTATTGTTCTTATTTTTCTTGAACCAACACTGTGTTTGAAAATGACCAACTTTACCACAGTAAAAACATTTGTTATTTTCATTCTCTTCGCAGTTTTTTTTAACACTTTTACACTCGCTCTGGAAATGTCCTATTTTCCCGCACTTGAAACAGCTTCCAGACTTTTTATTCTTCACTACAAAGGCAGACGATGATGAACTTTGCTGGGGTTCTTCATTTTGCCCTTTAACCTTTCTTCCTCCATTAGCAACCTCGCCACTATGTTATCCAAGGTTTGCTTATTATCAGGAGCTGATTCCCATGCTGAGATAAAATGTTTGTATTCGTCAGGCAGCGACATAAGTATTTTCGTAATTATAAATTTTTCAGAAATTTCTTCACCCATCTGTTTAAGCTGACTCTGTATTTCTTGAATTTTTGACAAAAATACAGACATATCGGTACCTTTTTCGTACTTATATTGAAAGAATTTTTGTTGTACAATGTGAATGCTCGTTTCTGTTTTCTGTTCATACACACTCTGTAGCTTCCTCCACATCTCCGCTGATGTCGAACACGAAATGATATGTAGTATTACATCTTCAGTCATCCTAGTAACTATTAAAGTCTGCGCCTTAGCATCCTTGTTTTCCCAAGCTATTTTCTCACTGGCTCCTTCGGGTTTCATACAACGACCTTCTACTATATCCAGCCAACCTTGTCCGCGTAACAGTACTCTCATTTGAAATTTCCATATATTCCAGTTCTTGGAACCTTCCAGTTTAAACACGTTCACGTTTTGATTGATTTCCATCGTTATTTGTTCCGCCTTCCTGCACAATATGGCGACTTCCTAACCTCAATTTTCCGGTTAGTCTGAGTGCAGTAATTCAACCACTGCTTTTATTTAATTCACAGAGGTATATGTGTCTGGGCCCATAACCTGATGTGACTAAATAAAAAACATGTATTTTACAACTCAAAACGTTATATATTTCCTGAATAAACTTAGTTTCTACTACATTGAGTATACACATCAAGACAAGTAAAAAGACAAGTGAGTGTGAGAGAAAAAAAAAAAAAGAAACAGGGTTACCAGCTAATTAATGTAATTACATTGCCATCTTTCATATATTCATCATATATTACATTTGAAAAAATATTACATTACTTCGTTACAATTTTAATTTCGTTTTCAATTTCGTTACATCTACACATAAAATAGGCAGTGGTAGCCCAGTGGTAACGCGCTTGCTCGGGAAACCGAGTAAAGCGGGTTCAAATCCCGGGTCTCGCACCTCTGATATTTTCATGTGCGAATCATTTCTAACATGATAACCACTTGCCTTACGGTGAAGGAAAAACATCATGAGGAAACCTGCATGTCTGAGAGAACCTAGCAAGTTTTCGAAAGACATGTGAAGTCTGCCAACCCGCACTTGGCCAGCGTGGTGGACTATGGCCTGATCCCCCTCGTATTGAAGGGAGGCCCGTGCCCAGCAGTGGGACGTTAAAAAGGGCTGAATACAATGCACATAAAATTAATATAATAAAAGGTAGCTTAGCGAAATCGATGTGTGCATTTCACGCAAAAAGTGCTAAACCGAACTAAATTTTGTAAAGTAATAACTTATTACTCGGGTCAACATTTAGGATACCTTTTACTACAGGAAAATCTTCATTCTGACGGGAAGACACAATAACTGGGTCTATCGAGTCTTCCATAGAAAACATGTTTAACGCTGGATAAGACTTGAGAGATACATCAAAACAATGTACTAGAAAATTGTGGCTCGTAATAAGGCATACAAAAATATCTGCAGTAGCTAAGTCTTTCTCCTAAGGTACACTCGCAATAACTCTTCATATCTATTTAAAACGTAGGTACCTAGGAGCGCACGCGAGCGAAACGAGGGTGTTACTGAAGTCTGTTTATTTTCTATAATGGCTTATAGTTGCGTCAACAGACGAAATCCATTCTGCCAGTGTCACGTTTTGTGAGGAAGACACGAATGAGATTGAGCGGTAATTTTTAAATTTGGCAACTTTAATGTGGAATGAAAACTATGAATGAATGATCGGTGTATAGGATTAACCTACAACAATAGTAAAATAATTAAATAATACAAAAATTACACATTGATTGAAAGTGAAAATAATGTGAACTATATTATAATTTAATTTTATTATTTACTATATATAAATTTTACTAGTTTTTTAATAAATACAAGGGCTAATAAACATTTGGTGTTAACTGGGCTGTTTTTTTTAATCTCAGAGACAAAACTGACATTACGAGGGTTGCCAGTTTTTTGCAATTCTTAAATAGTGATGTGCCACTATCTAAAATTAACGTTGATAAAATCAAGTATCGTTTTTTTATAATAAGTTCGTTTTTTTATAATAAGTTATCCTGAAATAATGTGTAGGTACTCATTTAAAACGTAATAACACAAATTTAATAATGCAAATTTAAATTTAATAATGTGGATTTTAATGATACTTAATGATTTAAAATTAATAAATATGATATTTAATGACTTAGAGTTAATAATGTGAATTTTTATGATATACTTTGGAATATAAAACTTTGAATCGAATCGTCTAATAAAGAACGAAAACCGGTATCGTAGGTATAACACTTCACAAAAGAGCTGACAGCATTATTTGTAAATTTGACATTGGCATGTGTCAATTTAGTCTCTGAGATTAAAAAAAACACTATAGATATGTATATAAGACTTTACATAAAACAATACATTGTAAGTTAATACTCACATTTATTAGTGTGCGTGTCAGGTCGGCGAGTACGGTGAGGAGTGCCGCGGTCATGGAGCACTAGGTCATATTCTTAGACATCCTTTGCCTGCCCTATAAATAATATTCCTTAAATAAATCATATGTTACGCAGAAAAGTTACAGTGTAGTCGTATAGAAAGGAAAAAATAGATCTAACGGCTCTCCTTTAAGAGTTTATGGCATATCAGTCTGAAGTCCCTGGCCACCGAGCGTCACTCGGAGTTTATGATCAAAAGTAAAATTTTCTTTTAAAAAAACTAACATATAATAAACTTGAATAAATACAAAAAAAAAATATACCTTTGTTTCCGACCGGGATTCGAACCCAGACACCTATCATTGTCAATCTTGCGCATTGGCCGCTTGACCAAGATGCTTATGCCCGAGCGTGCGAAATTATCGACCATATTTTGCGTGGAATAATCCGAAAGAAAACCGCATGAAAATTTGAAAACACGCGTTTTCTCAGGCACAAGACTAATCTAGATTGATTTATCGCCCCCGAAACCTACGTGTACTAAATTTCATGAAAATCGTTGGAGCCTTTTCCGAGGTTCAGATTATGTATATATATATATATATATATATATATATATATATATATATATATATACAAGAATAGCTCGTTTAAAGATATAAGATTTGTACCTAAATATATATAGATGGCTGAAGAATTCTGTAGTTACTTTATTATACTTATATGAAACTACAAACAGCTCTATTTTTGGCAAATATTACTAAGTATACTTATGTATAGCTTATGTTTTAATCCAGGTTGTAGTCATATCGTCATTTCATTTAAATCCAACTAGCCTTTTTTTTAAATTTCACTTTTATTATAATACTGTGATTTATTCTTTCGTCTTTTTCCATGTAGTAAATTTACATATTATTATATAAAAATATATTTCATGCTTACGCTCAG